AAAGAAAGAAAGAAAGAAAGAAAGAAAGAAAGAAAGAAAGAAAGAAAAAAGGAAGGAAAGAAAGAAAGAAAAAATATTGGGGGCTGGGGCTGGAGAGATGACTCAGAGGTTAAGAGCCCTTTTGCTTTTCTGGAGGTCCTGAGTTCAATTCCAACTCTACATGGTGGCTCACAACCATCTGCAATGAGATCTGGTGCTTTTTTTCTGGTCTGCAGGCATACATGCAGTCACAATACTTGTGGGACTTCTGGGAGCCTGTAGAAATCAGGACTTGGATGAACCTGGTGTCATTAGGGGAACCCAGGGGGAACTCAGTGAACTTTGATCTAGATTAAAGAAGGAATGCTAAAATTTCAAGGAGGAAGGACCTTGAGCAATGAGCCTTCTGTTTCCTCTGCAGCCCAGGCTTACTTCCTTTTCTCTCCAGCCAGGGCTCCACACCCTCCTGGATGCCTTCAGTCTCCTGACCATTTGTGCTTTCTGCCCGTTTGTTCATTTAAGAATCTGTATCAGTCAGAGTTCCCTAAAGGAACAACAGAACAACGAATGGCTGGATACATATGAAAAGGGGATTCATTAGATTGGGGAACAGGGTATGGTCCGGGTGATCCAGCAATGGCTGCCTCACCCTGGAGAGGCCAAGAATCCAGGAGAAGCTCAGTCCACAAGGCCGGATGTCTCAGCAGCAATCCCAGTCTGCCAGCCAAGGGCTGGAGAAGCCTGGAAAGCTGCCGGTCATCCATCACTCTATGCTGGAATCCCAGAGACGTTGGTTCTAATATTGGTGAAAAATGCCACATCCACAGGATAGCTGGACTAGAGGAAGGACAAGCAGGCAAAACACAGACTTCTTCTTCCACGGCCCTCTACCTGGGCAGCCACCAGAAGAAGCCACTTTTATTTTGGGTGGGTCTTCCCTATTCAGATGACCTGATGAACTCAAGAAGATTCCCTAAAATTGTGTCCTGTGGCCTGCCTTTTGGTCGAGTCCAGATCCAGCCAGGTTGACAAGCCAGCTTATCGATCTTAGGGTCCTTCAGGTCACAAGGGACAGGAGCCTAAATGAAAGTAGTTTAAGCAAAACTAAGTCAAGGCCAGGTGGTGGTTCACATATGTAACCCAGAATTCAGGAGTCTGAGGCAGGAAAATTACCATGAGTTTCAGAACAGCCTGGGCCACAGAGAGAGATTTCAAGGTCAGCCTAGGCTACGAAGTAGACTGTCTTGAAAAAGGGGGGGTGGGCTGCTGAGTGGTGTGGCACATGCCAGTACTGTGGAGGCAGAGGCAGGTGGATCTCTGAGTTTGAGGCCAGCTTGGTCTACAGAATGAGTTCTAGGACATCTAAGGCTACACAGAAAAACCCTCTCTTGGAAAAAAAAAAAAAAAAGAGTAATTAATCATCGGCATAAGTGGATGCTGTTAGCCAGGATTCTCCAGAGAAAGGAGGGAGAGAGGGAGAGAAAAAGAGAGAGAGAGAGAGAGAGAGAGAGAGAGAGAGAGAAAGAGAGAGAGAATGTTTGCTCCCTGGGCAAGTGAGTTAGCTCCTAAAATCAACTGCCATGTGGATACTACAGCCCCAATGATGCCAAAGTGCCTTCCAGTTATGTATACCACATATGGGGTCATCCTGAACCACTCATTTATTTTCTTGTGACTGAATTTACTGAAAGGTTCATCTGCTTGGGTCTAGCTTACCCGAAGCTAGACTTTCAGAACAGCCTCCATCACATGTCTGGCAATTGTCCAATAACAGCTGCAAAAGCAGAGACGTGGAGGTGAGGAAGAAATGCCAGGGCTGGGCCACACAAGCACTGAACATCACAGACACTGCCTTGCTAGCTCCTGTGATCTGAGGCCTAAGGATAAGGAATGGAGGAGTAGAGACCCAAGGACCCCAACATTCCCTCCAGAGCTTGTTTACACTTTCCCCAAGTTTTCCCTACATATTTCTGGCTCTTCCACGGGAGGTGTTTTACAAAGGCCTTTGCTCTACTGGAATGAGGGCATAGGGAACTCTCTCTGCAAGACAGCCATCTGCTTCAACAACAAAATACCAGTGTTTTCACAAAGGCGTTTGCATTATCTAGCAGTATGACCTGAGCATGTATGAAAGGTCATGAGGTTTGATTACACACAGTTTTAAAGCCTCTGCCTTTATCACAATTACCAGTGTTCCAGCAAGATGTATGGCCATACCCTGATCCAAGGGACCATATGATGCTTCTAGAAAGTTCTGGGAAGCCAGCATTGCAGAGGAGTGTTCAGGCTATAGTGGGATGAATTTGGGGTTTTGGGAGTCAGACCCCAGACAAGCAGCTGAGGTGCCTATTTAACCAATTGGACCTGGCCTCCAGGTTCTCCCAGCATCCCTCGGTCCCTACCTGAACTTCCCAGCCCAGGGGCTTCCCCCAGAGGCTCTTTACCATATAATCCAGACATTTTAGTTCTCTCTCTTTCTCTCTGCATTTCCTCTCACTCTGTTCCACCCCTTTTTGTCTCCCTTCACATGGTGAGTTCACTGGCCCTCTCCTGGAGGTCAGTAAACCCCCAGGAGAGCTGCCCCCAGGAAACCTGCCATTATACTTTAATTTGGCTTGAATTGGATCATTCTGTCAGCAGAGAATAACTATCAGGGAACATTTTTATTAAGCCGCTTTTTTGTCATCACTGTTGTTAAAACAACCCAAGGCTTTATTTGCTCCATGGTGCTGAAGTCCTAGGGTCAAAGGAATATATCTAATGATGGCACTTTCTACACAGCTCCTAGAGACCCCAGTAGGGAAGATGTGGGGGTAGGGAGGTCCATGTGTAAGAGGACAGAGGACAGAGGTCTTGCTCTACAAGCCCTGAGGACAGAATTTGAGTCCCCAGCAGTCACAGTGACAAGCAGGCCATAGCTGTTGATCTGTAACTCTGGTCCTGATGGGCACACAGGTGGATCCCAGGAGCTTGATGGCGAGTCTGGCGTAAACATAGCTTCCAGCTCAGTGAGAGACCATGCCCCAAGGCTGGAAGGCAGAGAACAGAGGAAGACACACCCGGGACCTTTCTCTGGCCTCTGTGTATACCCATGGCTGTGCACACCCATAGGCTCACACCTGTGCGCCACACACACATTCCCCAACAACACACATCATCATGGCTAAGCTTGGTTGTCAACCCAACTACATCTGGAATCCACTGAGACCCAACCAGCTGGGCACACCTGTGAGGGACTTTTCTTGATTGGATCATTCAAAGTGGAAAGACTTCTCTGTTGGACTCAGAGGATCACAGCCTGCAAGCCACGCTGATGAATTCATAAATATTCATCCTATCAGTTCTGTTCCTCTGGAAAACCCTGCATCTCACACACACACACACACACACACACACACACACACAGCTGTCAAGGTAACATTTCTTGGATTTTCCATCTCTACCTCCCGACCTACCCCCTCTCCTTTTTGAGAGCATTCAGGAACAAACCATCCTTACCTAAGTCCTCCTTTGATGTTCTGTATTCTAGAGACTCCAAGCCAAGACAATCTTCCTACGTCTGCCTCCTGCTCCAAACCTAGCCGCACTCCTCCAATAATTGTCTCTCCTCCTTCTCCCCAGAAACTTATTTAATTAAGTTGCAATTTGACACTCCAGAAAGACAATGCACTACTGTCTCCATGTCCTCTTTAAAACATCCAAATGACATCCAGAGAATGAGTGGTGAAATGATTGATGTTGCTTGGCCCTAAGATGCTTCGTGAAGGTAAACAGAAAGAATATGTGAATAAATTATGTCACTATAAACACATGGTGAATGCTGAAGTTTCAGTCTGCGTTGACTTCCAATTGTAAAATCGCCACCGCTCTTTAAAATGTCATGATATGGAGCGACTTAAGAACTAGGTGCTGATAATAGATCAGATAAGGGGATGGGGAGGGTTAACTAACACTAAAAAAGCTACACGGAAGCCTGCTATTTCGTAAGCTCCACATACATTCACGTAAAATATTTTAGCTGGAGTTAACCTACATAGGGAACAATGCCCTTCCCAGAAGCTATAAACTGCCAAATAAAAATCCCAGCACAGGATTGGGATACCTTGCCTCCAACTGTTAGGTCAGGGGTCCCCTGAAGACTCCCAAAATATTACAGGCTATTGCCATTGCTCTCAGCTGTCCACCAGAATTTGCTAAGACCTTATTGCTCGCTGCCTATGATGGCATACTCCTTTAATCTCAGCACTCGGGTGCAGAGGCAAAATCTGGCAGCGCTTAGACAACCTGGTCTATAGAGTGAATTCCAGACCAGCTGGGCTACATAGTGATGTCACAGACTTGGGGAAGTCAAATCGGTAGCATGGCGCAGCTCCCTCTGGTGGTTAGCTTTCATAGTACAGCGAAGTGCTGTGCAGGCTGCTAAGGGTGAAAGAAAGGTCGTCTACAAGATAGGCTCATGGGAGCAGTAGAGGCAGGAATGTTATACAAGTATGCGTCCTGTTGCATTTAAGGACTATGCCACAGGAGGAAACACATGCCCAGTATTGTAAACCTGGCCTAGAACCCATAGCTGGCTGTAAGGGCAAAGAACGAGGGTATGTGGTGTGCTCCGCCGTCAGCGGGACATATACCACACCCTTCTCTACCGAGGCTCAGAAACCATCAACGAGGAGGAGACAGAAAGACGCTAAGATACTTCCCAAAAGGCAGAAAATTGATTTTGTTCATTGTTGCGTAGTAGGTATCAGTCTGTCATAACAAAGTGGACGGGGACATAAGGTTCTCAACCTGTGGGTCGCCATCCCTTTGGGGTCAAGTGACCCTTTCACGGGGGTGGCATATCAGATATCCTTCATATCAGCTACTTATACTATGATTCATAACAGTAGCAAAATTACAGTTATCAAGTAGCAGCAGAGATAATCGTATGGTTGGGGGTCACCACAACACGAGGAACTGTATTAAAGGGTGGCAGCATTAGGAAGGTTGACTTACGTCATTGCAAACAGGAACCAGAGTTCAGGAGTGACAGGACAGGGTCTGGGCATGGTAATTCCCTTCCTCTAACCCAACCCTACCTTCTGCAGGTTCGCCACCTCCCAACAGTCAGTTCAAACTTTGAATCCATTTGTGAATTAAGCTATCAATTAGGACAGAACATCGTGGTGTAAGTGGCCCTGGAGAGTCCCTCACAGACTTACCCAGTTGCCTAATCCAATCACATTTCGATCGCATCACCATCGAGTCACCCTAACCTGACTTATGCCCACACCCCTCCCACCAACCTGAACTGCTTCTATCACCAGCAACTTCTTGGGTCCCTCTCAGACCTGCCTTTGTTTTGGTTTTGGTTTTTCAAGACAAGAGTTTTTCTATAGCCCTGGCTGTCCTGGAACTCACTGTAGATCAGCCTGGCCTCAAGCTCGGACCTGCGTTTCTTCACTTATCATAAGCATGCAATGTGAAAGATTTTTAAACTCCTGATTTTGGCCCCACCCCTTCGGCCACTCCATTAGGACAGCATGCATTTCTTTCCCTCTTCCCATCACTGAAGTTTTAGCACTATTTATCTTTCTTCAGGGTACTAGTGACCGTTTGTGTGACGAGAAAACCCAAATGTGGTCTTCACATGGAGCTTCTGCCTCTTCATTCGTGGACACCTCCACGTCTTCCACTGTGGCCACACTCCTTTATAATGGTGACCCAAGGACCCAGCCTAAGATGGAACAATCATCCCTGCTTTCTCCTGTTCCTCACTTCCTACCTCCTGCCCTGCTTCCTCCTAAAGAGACTTAGAACCTACCCCCTTTCCCTACCTTCTCTGTGTCCAATCCTGGCCCAAGCCATCGCCCCACCTTTTCTTTCTTCCTTTCAAATGGGTCTCATTACATAGCCTCAGCTGACCTGGAACTCCCCGTGTCAACCAGGCTGGTTCCAAGCTCCCAGACATCCGCCTGCCTCTGCCTCCCTTGTGCTGGGATTAAAGGCGTGCACCACCACTGCCGGCTCCCCACTGTGTCCTGCTTGGACCACCACACAGTGCCAGACTGATGCCCCTACATCTACTCTGGCACTTCTGCCATCCGTCCTCGGTACAGAAGGCGGTAGAGCAGTTGTCCTAGATTCTGAACTCACTGCACGCCATGCTTCCGGTTCACTGCTGCCTTAGGGACAGAGGTAGAAAAGACTCACCTGGCATGTGACTCAACGGGCCGCTTCCTCTTTCTCAAACAGTATTATCACTTGGCTTCCAGAACATTCTAGTTTTCTCCACCCTCCTGCTCTTCCTTATTCTTCTTTGCTGAGCTCTTGTATATCCTCAGACTCTGAATCCTTAACTTCTTCAGAGCTCCATCTACACACTCTCTCTCTCTCTTCTTTTCATAGTCCCTGTATCTCTGTGTTAGAGGCATCTTCATTTGGGTTGACTTGACTTTTAAAATAGTTTACTGCAGGGTGGTGGTGGCACAAGCCTTTAATCCCAGTACTCTGGAGGCAGAAGCAGGTGAATCTCTTGAGTTTGGGGCCAGCTTGGTTTACATAGTAAGTTCCAGGACAGCCAAAGTAGGCCTTCCCTGATTTGTTGTTGTTTTTCCAGACAGGGTTTCTCTGTGTAGCTTTGGCTGTCCTGGACTCACAGAGAGCCACCTGCCTTTGCCTCCCTGAGTGCTGTGATAACAAGTGTGCGCTCTCGTGCCCCATACCTAAATCATTCACACACGCAAGCGCACCCTATCGGCCCCTTTGTCTGTTTTATTTTTCTGCTTACTTCTCATTTTACCTATTAATCCTACTAGTATGTTTCTACCTCTAGTATGTAAGTTCTCTGGAACAGGGATTCTTGTCTATTCATCGGTATATTCACCTGGCTGGGACATAGTAAATGCTCAGTAAATGCTTTCAGATGATGAGTCAATACTGGAAAGCCGGAGAGTGGGGATAAATGAGTGAACAGCACTGTGCTCTCCCACCCAGGTACATCCTCTCCTCACCAAATTCCAAGGTACACTCAGCCTGGCAGTCTCTGACACCAAGGTTGTTTCCACTTGTCAGCTTCTAATCGGGCCTTATGCCCCCTTTTCTGGATGATTCCTAGTTGTCCTAACTTTGTCATTCTGCTGGGATTGAGACAGTCAAGGGCTTCACACCCATGAGAATCTCCCCTCCTGCTCATCTGCACTGTCGCTCAGAGAGCCCTTGGGGACATGAGACACTGATCCTATCTTATCTTCCCAGTATGGTGTCCGATGGTCACTTAATAAATGTTTTCAGAGAAAATAAAAATTCTTGCCTTGACCATATATTTTCTCTGCTCAGTAGTCTTTGGTTTTACCAACACTAATTTATGAGCTAGCTATTATTACTAAACCCACCTAGTACATTAAGAATGTGGGCTTAATGGCTTATGCCTGTAATGTCAGCACTCGGAGAGGCAGAGGCAGGTGGATCTCAGAGAGTTCAAGGCCAGCCTGGTCTAGGACAGCCAAAGATACACAGAGAAATCCTGTCTCAAACACACACACACACACACACACACACACACACAAATGTGAGGGTCTGGATCAGCAAGATGGCTCAGCAGTTAAAGGTGATTGCTGCCAAGGCTAATGACCTGAGTAGGATTTCTGGAACTCACATGACAGAAGCAGAAAACTGACCCCTGTGGGTTGTTGCCTATCTCCCTATATTTGTGTCGTGGCATATGACCCCCCCAACCCCAAATACATAAATATAATTTAAAATTTAAAATTCTTTTAAATACAATATGAGAGGTCAAGAGTTAAGCCTCTGACAAAGAGCACAGGACTTCAAAGTGTCCCTTTGACTCCAGAGTCCTCATTCCTTAACCACAACCGTGAGTAGGCTCTTTCTCTTTCCAAACTTCAGTTTCCATATAAAGGGTGGGGGCAGTTGGCCTGAGTCATCTAGGCAAGGTATCGCCAGAAGGTCAAACTCAAGCCAATTTCAGTTTACATACGTCACAGAAGGGAAACTACAAATGTTGAGAATCGAAACTTACAGCAAAAGAGCTGGCCGGATGCCAAGCCTGTTAAGGAGGCCCGACCTACTAGCCCCAGCCTCCCACCCCTCAGCACACCTGCCGAGATGACAAATCTCCAAGAAGGGGACCCCCAGTGAGCCTATTATTCCCAGGTTCCTCTCTTTTCCCACCTTTGTCACCACAGGGTGTCAGAGGTCAGCTGGAAGAGAACCCCCTTAAAAAAAAAGGAGGTGCGTGCCAGGAGTTGGGTGGGTTCGTGGCTATATAGCCCTGCTGCAGCAGTGGGCAGTCAGCGCAGACATGGCACTGGCCCAGGAGCTGTACAGCTTCCCTGCCTCTAAGCTGGACTCCTTCGTGGCTCAGTGGCTGCAGCCAAGCAGGGAATGGAAAGAAGAGGTGCTGGAGAGCGTGCAGGCGGTGGAGCAGTTCCTGAGGCAGGAGAACTTCCATGGAGAACGGGGCCTGGCCCGAGACATGCGGGTGCTGAAGGTGGTCAAGGTAAGCCTGGCTCCCTCCATTCCAGGCCAGGACAGGGAAAGACCCAGGGTCAGAGGGTCTCCTTGCTGTGTCTGACCTCTCAGAACACTACAGCCAGCTGTCTGTCTACAACCTACGGCCTTGAGCAGAATGAACCAGCAGAGAAGCTAACAGCAGACCCCCTTTGGGGAGTAAGGTAGCCTAGACCCTTCATGTTCTGTCATTAAGACGTGTACCTTGTGAGACAGACAGTTCTTTTCCCATTCTACAGAGGAGCCTAACAAAGGCTCAGCAACGTAAGAGTTTACAATGACCACGTGCAATGCAAGGCTTCTCGCTGGATCCTGATATAAAATCTGTAAAATACGGTTTGTGGAGCCTGACATGGGGGTCCACTCCTGCAATCCCAGCACTTGGGAGGTAGAAGCAAGAGGATCATGGGTTAGAAGCCAGCCTAGGTTACATGTCTCAGAAAAGCAGAGAGAGAGAGAATGTTTAGAGACTATTGGTGAATTTTTAAAATGACCTGCATTTTGATTTTTAAAAAAATTGCTGTTTGTCATGTCAAATCTAATTGCAGCTTTTGGGGTGGAGGAGCTCTCTTTTGCAGAATTCACATGCTATCTGTTTCAGGACAAAGTTCCTTGCTGTCTGCTAATCACTTTCAAGCGGTTGTGATGAAGCAGCTGTGGGGGTGGGGTTTAACTGAGCTCTAGAGTACAAACCTAGCATGTCTGAGGCTCTGGGCTCAAACCTTAGTACCAACAAAAGAGAGACGCAGATGTGGCCGGTTCAGATATGTTGAGTGGCTGGGTGGTCTTTGTTTCTTCCTATGTTGGCGTGTTCTAATTTTCTGATCAAAGAAAGCTCCGTAAAATGATGGTTGAGCAAGCCCTGTGGCTTGCCCGGATCCGCACAGCTGCTGTTGGATCTGGGATTTAAATTTAACCACTCAAACCATGACTCCAGTTTCTCACTAAGACTTTTTTTTTTCTTAAATCCTTCCCCCAGCTGCCTCATCTACCCCCTAGCTCAACTCAAGCTAAGCAGAGGTTGACAGAGCCTGGAAGGGGGTGGACAGTTGCAAGCTGAGGACCTGAGTTTCATTCCCAGCAGCTGTAAAGAGCTGAGTGTGGTTGCTCACACTTACAATGCCAGCCCTAGGGAGGCAGAGACAAGAGAATCACTAGGATGTTTCTGACCCATCAGCCTAAATGAATCTGCAAACCGCAGGGCACAGTAAGAGAGCCTGTATCAAAAAATCAAAATGGACAGACTAAGGAATGATACCCAAGGTTGGTCACTGGCCTCCACATGCAGGCGTGCTTAAGAATGTGTGTGTGTGTGTGTGTGTGTGTGTGTGTGTGTGTGTGTGTGTGTCACACACAGACCCAGCTTTGGAGAATTAGCCTCAGCCAATTGTTCATTAAACATTAAGGAGATGGACACACAGAGAGGGTGACATATCACACCAAATTGGTGGCAACATCCAGACTAGAACTGGGACTCTGAACTCCCAGCGTTATTTAACTTTCCCTCTTGGGAAGAATTTAGCAGCCTTGAGCCTCTGCCTTCCTGGAAACCCATTCTGTCTTCAGGGCCTCAGGTCACATGATTTAGAAGCTGCAGTCATAGTTTTGAGACCACGCAGACCGGGATTTGACCCTGGCTTTTCCTCTCATCAGTCGTGTGACTCTGGCTGTGCTGTCCTGTGTCTCAAGCCCTTGTCTGTTCATCTGAGATTGTGGCAGCCTAAAGATTCTCTCAGGGTGCATTCTTAGAAACAAAGGTTTCTCTGTGATACTTGCCCAGGGCAAGAGTCCGTGGGACTCTCTCTTGGGGAAAGACACCTTCTAAGACCACTCCCTCCCTCCCTAGAACAGAAAGTATGTAGGAAGAGGAAGACTCAACAAATAGAGTCTTTATGGTGACAGATGCTAACTGCTGAGCCTCATCTCTCCTCCCCCTTAACCCACTCAATGACAGCCATGCCCAAAGAGCAAGACCCAGTAAGAATGGCTCCTAGACTCAAAGCCTTCACTTCCCCACCCTTGAAGTTCAGAAGGCTGAGCCATCCACAGTCCACCTGAGCTTATCTAAGGAATCGTGTAGATCGCAGGAGTAGATTAGTAGAGCAATCGGGAGTAGATTATAACAGAAACAAATAGTGGAGTCTGTCCTAACCCGTGCTTTCCTCACTGGGAGAGGGAGAGGGCAGTGTAGACATGATCTGACCTGCAGAGGGATCGCCCTTAGCCCACATCCAGAACCAATTTCAGTCCCTTCTCCTGGGGTAGGACTACCAAGTCTGATTACTAGTGGAGTCAGAATGAAAACGGAGACTGAAGACAGCAGGCGCCTGCTCTTTGGGAGTAGGGTGTAGCTCGTGGACACTCTCACAGACGGGACAGGAAGAACCTGCGGCCGTGTCTGCTGACTTTCCTTCGGACTCCCTGCCTGACTGGGAGACCTTGCAAGTGGATTCTGCTCCACTGCCTCCGTATTGGTCACAGGGCCTATCTCTGCGATTAGAAAGGAGATATACATTAAATGACCTTTGTGGGGAGCTGGCGACAGGGGCTGCTCAGCCAGGGACAGCAGTGTTTTAATTCCTGTACTGACTCCACTAAAAAGGAGAGGTAGCCACCCAGAGAATGACTGTCCTCAACAGTCCGACCTCCACCAGACAGGGGTGAGCTAGAGAGCTGAGGGGCTTTGTCAGGGAGGTCGGGGAGGGGGGAGTCTAGACTTCCTCTTCAAAATCATCTGGTTCTGGGGCCAGCAGGATGGCTCAGCATGGAAAGGCACCTACTACCAAGCCTTGACCTGAGTATAATGCTAGGACCCCACATGGTATAATGAGGGAACCAACTTCCACCAGTTGCCCTCTGACCTCCACATGTGTGCCATGGTGTACACACATACACACATCAACCATACAACACACACATACACAACACACACATATACAACACACCCACATAAGCATTACACACCACACACAGAGAGAGAGAAAAAATGAAAACAAACAAACAGACAAACAGGTAAACAGTTCAGCCTTCTGCCATTAAGAGACAGGGAAACTAATGTGTAGGCAGCCATGGAATCGACAAGATAGAGAAAAGACACACTGCTGACTTCCAGAACATGGGGCCCCACCCTGGGCCCCACACCCTGGGCACACAGCTTTTTATCTGATCTTCCCAGTAACCTAACGACTCTCATTGCACCATGGCTGGACAAGACTGGCTCTCCAAAGGTATGCAGGGCCATGGATAAGCTCTGGTGGGGCTTGACTGTACCTGAATTGCTTGGGAGGTTGAATCAGGAGGATCGTGAGTTCAAGGAAGGCCTGAGCTACATAGCAAGTTCCAGGCCGGCTGTAGGCTGCATAGGGAGACCCTATGTCAGAAAAGAAAGCATGAGGAAGCCTGGGTGCTGGTGTCCAGCTGCCACAGATGCCGAGCGCAATGTCCTCCTCCATCTGCCAGCATCTGTGACGTGATGGCAGCGCTTCTCACCTAGCTCGTGTGCAACGGCTGTATCCTAGAGGGATCTGTTGCATGAAGAGCGCCAAGGTTGCCCGGCACGTGGCTGATGGCCTCGGGGTGACAGCGTCCTGTCTTCTGCAGGTGGGCTCCTTCGGGAACGGCACGGTGCTCAGGAGTACCACAGACGTGGAACTGGTGGTGTTCCTGAGCTGTTTCCACAGCTTCCAGGAAGAGGCCAAGCACCACCAGGCTGTTCTGAGACTGATCCAGAAAAGGATATCTTATTGCCAGGACCTGCTGGACCTTGGGCTCAATAACCTGAGTGTGATTGAAGGAGTGCCCAGTGCTCTCTTCTTCACTCTCCGGACAAGGGAGACCTGGGAACCCATCACTGTCACCATCGTGCCTGCCTACAGAGCCCTGGGTAAGGAGAACAGAAGTACATGCATGGCCTGCCCAGGATGACCCCTTGCCTCCATCCTGGGTTTGAGCTGCTGCAGTTTGAGCTGCTTCAAGACTTGGGAAACAGAAACTTAACACAGAGGAACGCTATGTGCACATGACCAATGGTAGCCAGCGATCAGAGGACAGGAATGAGGTGCCCTGGGTAACCACCAGATCATGTTCAGGAAAGGACTTTCTGTGGGAAGAATATTTTGAAAGATCCAGGGGAGAGGGGGAGTCAAATCAGGAACTGTGGGTCCAGTCAGGCATGCAGTAGCACTTTCTGTGTCTGTGAGACCTTTCCCAGAATCGACCTCAGAGATCCAAACCATAGTGAGTTCTGTCTGTCACCTCCCACTGGTTTCAGGCTGTACAGCCTTATTCCATGGATGCTATAAATGATACTCTGCCCACGGAAGAAAGTTATTCACGGCATGTCATGGCCCCGGGTCTCCCCTATGAATACTGAGAAATTTCAATCAATCATCCAGAATGAGAGCTATTGATAAGAGAGACATAAAGGAAAGCGGGAAGTGTTGGGGACATCCAGGGAGGACCCAAGACATGGTAAGCCCAAAGCTGGTTGTCCCAAGTAAGACTCTCGCCAGGCAGGGCACAGTGGCGCACACCTTAAATTTCAGCTCTTGGGGAGGCAAACACAGGAGGATCTCTGTGCGGTTTGAGGCCAGCCTGGTCTACAAATCGAGACCAGGATGACGAGGCTGTTAAACAGAGAAACCCTCTTGAAACACCTCCCCCCGCCGCCACACACAAAAGAATTTCACCAGAAAGACAACTACCCAAGTATCGCTGTAGATAAACCCCAAAGAGTGGCCAGGCCCCTCCCCAATGCCTACTGAGTCCACTTGGGCCTCCCGAATCTCCACTCACTCTTTGCTTCCGTTCTCCACAGGGCCTTCCTGTCCCAACTCTCAGTTACCCTCCGAGGTCTATGTGAATCTGATCAAGGCTAATGGGTACCCAGGAAACTTCTCCCCATCATTCAGCGAGCTACAGAGGAACTTCGTGAAACATCGGCCAACGAAGCTGAAGAGCCTCCTGCGGCTGATCAAACACTGGTACCAGCAGGTGAGGGGCTACCAGGGTGAGGCCAGGAAAAGGCATCGAGGGGAGACAGGGTTGGAGGAAGAGTGGGAGGATGCTAGCACTAACCCACAGTTGCGCTCTCCTTCGGCTGATGTCCACTCCTGTGGTTTCTGAGCATTAAGCCCAACAAGTTCAAGACTAAGGGGAAGAAGGATCCCTTTACATCTATTCCTACTGCCCTGCCGCTCAGAGATGCCGGCCTCTGAGTCCCGGTCAGTGCTGAATGACCGGGTTCTGGGTGACATTTTCAGATGTCACATGTGGGATCTGATAAGAACCCAGTACATTCAATGTAATTGGGTGTGCAGAACTATGTAAACTGAGTAAAGGAAGAATCAGAAACAATCACAACACACACACACCACACGTGCACACAGGTGCTCACGCACATGCATACACATGAGCATGCACAAACGAACACAAACCCGTGGTAGGGAGCAGGCTTCTTATTAGCTAACGAGATGCACTAAGAGAAAGGTGAGGTGTGATGGCACACACCTGTAACCCCGGCACTTGGGAAACTGAGGCAGGAGGATCTAGAGGGACCTAACCTGGGCTACACAGTGAGACTCTGCCTCAAAACAAGTACACAGGAGCGAGAGAGACGGTTCAGCAGTTAAGAGCGCACTCTTAACTCGGGTGCAGAGAACCCGAGTTCAGTCCCCAGCACCCACATCAGGCAGCTTGAAACTGCCTATAACTCCATCTCCAGAGGAGCCGATGCCTCTGGCTTCCACGGATACCCACAGTCACAGGCTCATACATAAACATGATTAAAAATAAAGGAAATCTTTTTTGAAGAGTCTGGTAGAATTTCTACATCAGCCCGTTTTGATGATGCTGTCCATTTTACCTGCGAATATTCATCTCCAGTTACACTTCATCCTTTTGCCATACTGGAATGTGGAAAAAGATCGCCCATGAATGATTATATTATAATCAATCTACTCTTTTTTAAAAATGAGTTGTCAGCTGGGCACAGTGGCACATGCCTGTAATCCCAGCACTCAGGGAGGCAGAGGCAGGCAGATTTCTGTGAGTTGGAGGCCAGCCTGGTCTACAAAGCAAGTCCAAGGACAGCCAGAGTTACAGAGAGAAACCCTTTCTCAAAAACAAACAAACAAATGAACAAAACTTAGCTGTCAGGTGGAATGCTCATCTGTAAGTCCTTCTTGCCCTCCCCCCCACCATACACACCTGAGCTTAGGCTTCATAACCAGGCCTGGCCTTGACAAAACTAAAAGAACTTATGTCTTAGTTTGGGTTACAAATGCTATGATGAAACACCATAACCAAAAGCAATTCAGAGAGGAAAGGGTTTATTTGGCTTACACTTCCACATCATGTCCATCACTGAAGATAGTCAGGACAGGAACTAAAGCAGGGCAGGAACCTGGAGGCAGGAGCTGATGCAGAGGCCATGGAGGGGTGCTGCTTACTGGCTTGCTCCCCATGGCTCGCTCAGCCTGCTTTCTTATAGAACCAGGACCACCAGCCCAGGGATGGCCCCACCCACACTGGGCTGGGCCCTCCCTCATCCATCACTAAGTAAGAAAATGCCCTCCAGGCTTGCCCACAGCCAGATCTTATGGAGACATTTTCTTAATTGAGGCTCCCTCCACTCAGATGACTTTAGCTTGTGTCAAGTTGAGATAAAACTATCCATGACAAGCTAGTATCAGTGGTTTTACATTTAAAAGTATAGGTCAAAAATAAACATAGCAGGGCTGGCTATGTTTACAGATAGATGGCTCAGTCAGTAACATACTTGAGGCACAAACATAACAACCTGAGTCCAGATCCCCATCACCTGTGTAAAAAGGTGAGCACAGCTGCCATCACAGCACAGGAGAGACAGAGACAGGATGCTCCCTGGAGCTTGCTGGCGAGCTTGGTCTAGCCAGTTAGCAAGCTGCCATTCAGTAAGAGAGCCAGTCTCAAAATGTGGAGACCAACAGAGGAAAATATCTCACCCTGACCTCTAGCCTCCAGACCCATGAGTTTGTATTGTTGCACACTTACATGGACAGAACAAAAAGAATTTAAAATCCATCTGGTGAGATGTCTCAGTGAATTAAAGGTGCTTGCCACACAAGCGTGGCGACAGAAGTTTAATCTGGTCCCAGGAACCCATGTGAAGGTTGAAGGAAAGAACTATATGAAGTTAATTCTGACCTCCACACCCACACATGCACAGAGAGAGAGAAAGAGAGGAGGGGGAGGAGAAGGATGATTCAAAAACAGATTATATTCCCCTAAATTTAAAGTCAGACAAAATTTGAAGTCTACTGGGCTAACCTAGGCTCTTAATCCTAAAATGGGGAAACCAAGGCCCAAGGATGGAAAGTAGGTAGAACTAAGCTTAGACTTTGAATTTTCCACCCTGGACCTGGTGCCATCTTCTCACTTAATCTTGGCATCCCTCTCTGTCTCTTCCCCCTCTCTTCCACAGTATGTGAGAGACAAGTGCCCCCGGGCCAACCTGCCTCCTCCCTATGCCCTGGAGCTGCTAACTGTCTATGCGTGGGAGGCAGGCACCCAGGAGGATGCAAACTTCAGGCTGGATGAAGGCCTCGCCACTGTGATGGAGTTGCTCCAGGATCATGAACTCATCTGCATCTACTGGACCAAGTACTACACACTGGAGAACCCAGTCATTCAGGCCTTCATCAGAAGACAGCTCAAAAAAGAAAGGTACGGCCCCTGCTTACCACCAATATCACAGAAAGAAAAAAAAAAAAAAAACCCCACAGCGAGAGACTGGGAGAAATCTAGAATTTATGGCTTGGCTTTATTAAGTATGCACTGAGCCCCCACAGAGACCAGTCAGCATTGAAATCTCAAGTGATCAGATAGCAGTTCAAAGCCGATTAAGATTTCCCAGGGGCCGTAGGACAGATGAGCCTGTTCCTTGTTCCCCAATGCCACCCTCTGCTTTCCAAAAAAGCCATGAGAAAGTACAAAGGCTGAGTCCAGAGCGCTTGCCCAGCGTGCATGGGGACTGGGTCTGATCCCAGCCTGGGCACAGGTGTGGACCGGTAGGAGCTTGTCATCATTTTCATGCCAGGGACAGATGGGGTGTGTCCACAACCCCTGTTCAGGAGGCTAGAGCCGGAGAATCACACCGATGGAGTAACAGTGTGAAAGGCAATCTCAGAAAAAAAAAAAAAAAAAGGACCAAAAGATGTGAGGTGAGGTAGTCAGGAAACTGCTTGGCCTGCAACTATGAGTATCGTGCAGACCCCCTGCGCCTGTGTAAAAATTGTGTGGGGTGTACACCTGTAATCCCAGCTCAGGGAAGCAGAAACAGGAGGCCCCCTGGACCTTGCTGACCAACCGGTATGGCCAGATCTTCAAGCACCAGGAGCAATGGGAGACCCCGTCTCAAAAAAAATAAGGCAGAAAAATAACTGAAGACACCCGCTATCAACCCCTGACTTCGACGTGCATGTATACACTTGCGCGCGCGCACACACAAATTAGATGTCATTTTTCAATTAACACACCAAGAGGAAACTGGTGCGTACCATGTAGACGGCTGAGGGTCACAGAAAATTCATGTTAAGTGTGCTCTCGGTCCATGGTCTGTGCTAGATGCAGCATCAACCATCAGGACGGCAGCTCAAACCACCATTGCCCCACCTACCGCCCTTGGCCTCGATCATATGGTTACAGGCTGGGTTCTAATTGCCAGCACCGGCCTCCCATCACCCCCAGGTCTCCCTTCCCTGGCACACTTCTCCCAGTAGCCCTCAACCAATGGCTTGGCGTTGGTGATAAACACCACGCCCTCCCTGCTGTCCAGTGAGAGCAGGCTGGCTCCTGCCTTCTGCTGACTCCCAGGGTTCCCCCGTGGGTCTCCAGCTGACCTCGGTGTTTGCTCCCGTCCCATCGTCTCCATTTCTTGCTGGTGCATCCCTCTGTGTCTTCCACATCAATCAAGTCCTCAGCTGTGGATCTGCTTCAGGAGAATCCAGCCTCCAGAGCCCTTGTCAATGGAGACTTTGTATTGAGGTTTTTCAGTACTCTTGTGTCATCCCTGAGCGGTCTGTTATTTGTTTTGCAAGGAAGAAAAGCCAGGTACCCTCATAGAGGACCTATTCTTGGGAACTGGCTTCCGGGTCTTAAGCAGATCGGAATCTCTGCGTCCCTCTTGCTGCTCTTCTCTCCTCCTCCCCCCTTCCTTTGGTTCTCCTTCCCGACCTGCTCTACTCAGTTCTTCCCAGTTAGAGGCCTTCATCATCCCTGGTGGAACCCGCAGGGGAAAACTGCCCGATCCCTGCACACAGCCAGCACAGTGGCGCCCCTGCTGGGTCATCTGCCAAGCTGAAAGAATGAGCCCATCTGTGCCCCAGCCCTGGGGACAGCTCAGACTGCTCACTGATCATCAGGGTCAGATAACTATGGGATGCCAGGATCCTCAGGCATAGAGCTCAAGGTGTCCGGTCCACTCAGTAGCCTGTTTTCACCTTCTGTCACAGTGGCAAAGTCCCAAAGTCAAAGAACACAAAGTGTAGCTCTTACTTATGAGCTGGGGTTCACCTCAGGCAGTCTCCTAAGGGGGCCAGTCAAACTCTGCTCAGACTCTGCTCATGCCGGTAATGTTTCGTCATTGAGGGTTTGCATACCGAAGAGATATCTTAGAGACAGCCGGAGCTCTGCCCTGTTGAGGCAGTAGAATTAGAACAGCCAAGAGCCTTCTCTATCAACCATGAGAATTTAAGGTCAGCTGGGTGGTGGTGGCGCACACCTTTAGTCCCAGCACTCCGGAGGCAGAGGCAGGCAGATCTCTGAGCTTGAGGTTAGCCCTATAGAGTGAGTTCCAGGACAGTCGGGGCTACCCAGAAAAACCCTGTCTCAAGGGGGGAAAAGGGAGGAAAAAAGAGAAAGAGAAAGAGAAAGGGAAAGAGAAAGAAAGAGAAAGGGCAGGTGAATTTAAGGTCTATATCTCTGGTCCCTCACCCCCACAACAGGGATAACAATAACAATGATACCTTTTAGAATTGTTGGGAGGATTAAGGCAGGCCCACTCAGGTTCTGGTTCAATGCTTCAAAAGTGATTGATAGATATTGGTGGTGTCACTGTTATCAAAGGCCATTCAGCAAATTTGTCCTCAAACTAGTATAGCTTGCTATGACCTCGAGAGGCCTCCCCTGCCAGAGTGGACCTCTGCTATTGCTCTGGGGTGCATCACGCAGCCTCAGTCACCCTCTCCATCCCTCAAATTCTTTGAAACTCCCCAGAGTGTTCTCCTCAAGAAGAAGAGTCCTTGAGGAATCTCCTCATCTCCATGCCCTCGCTGTCTAGCGATACCCAGTCAAGGCCCCTGACTGACAGCTCTGGGGATGCAGGGATGCTTAGTGGCTGGAAAGGATGCTGGCTGGCGAGCATCTTCCTGGCCTACAACTTCCAGACCAGAAAGAGCCTGAGCATCCTATTTCTGTGTTTCAGGCCCATCATCCTGGACCCAGCAGACCCAACCCACAATGTGGCGGAAGGGTACAGATGGGACATAGTTGCTCAGCGGGCCAACCAGTGTCTGAAGCAGGACTGTTGCTATGACCACAGGGACACCCCGGTCCCCAGCTGGACTGTGAAGGTAATGGTTCCTCCCAGCCTGACACTCTGAACGGTACACCTGCACAGCATTGCTTCTTCCCCCAGTTAGGTGCCTGTGGAGCACAGCACTTCAGAGGAGGAAGTCGTCCACGACACACACACACCCCGGCAGCTCTCAACCTGGGCATTCTTTGACTTTCTAAGCCTTGAGATCCTGACCATTCATCCTGACACTTTTCCTGCCATGATCACCGTGTGCCCATAAGTCAAGTCACTCAGCCTTTAGTGCCGGCACTGGACTTGGGGTTGGGGGCAGAGGGAGGAGGAAGCATGGAAGGTCCAGAAATAGAACACGACCTGTGCCCTTGAGGAACTCATGCAACACTGTTAGAAACGAGCTGAAACAAGTTTGTGCAAACCTGCTAGACAGATTACCAGAAAAGATAAGACTCTTAGAAAATAAAAAATGCAAAGAAATGCCTATGGGCTGTCTCCGTTGGTCTCCACGGGCAATTCTATAAAAAGGCTGTATTTCATCGGTGGCTTCATCATTTGTTACTGTAAGTAGTACGGGTCCATTCTATAGAAGAGCAAGCCGAGGCTCCAGAGAGTTAAGCCCGAGAATCGAGTTCATAGTGCTAAGAGGCAACAAAGCCAGGTTCTGTCAGATCTTTAATGAGGCTCCGGAAATAGGCGACAAACGTTAGCTAGAGTCACCAGACAAGATTTGTGCAGGAGCTTCAAGCTGGTTGGTTGGTTTGTGAAACAGGGACTATGTAGTCTTGGCTGGCCTGGAGCTTGTATATAGACCAGGCTGGCCTTGAACTCACTCAGATCCCCGTTTTGAGAACTGGAGTGACACATATCTGTCACCCCCCCGCTTGACTGAAAGGTCTTTCTTTCTTGAAAACTTTACAACCCTAGCTTTAGAGTCTTTCAGAACCCCGCTGTGCCCTCCATCCCTTCTGTCAGGCTGTGAACACTGAACACCAGGCAGGCACGGTCACTTTGTCTGCCAAGAGGGGGGAGAGCCAACCTCACGGCACTGAAAATGTACTCCCGGGAGGTGCCCAACACAGCCTACAAAGTTATTGGCACTCCCTAAATGTTTGCTGATGATAAGGAGAAGGAAGAGGAGAAGGTGGGGAGAGAAAGAGGAGGGGAAGAGGAGGAAGAGAAGAAGGGGAAGGGGGAGGAGAAAGCTGTTTTTGCTATTACAAAGATGGAAGGGCATTTGTGAGCCATCAGACAGAAATGTGAGCCTAATCCTAGCCTCCTCTCTTGCAGAGAGCACCGGATATCCAGGTGACAGTGGAGCAGTGGGGTCACCCCAATCTAATCTTCTGGGTGAACCCATATGAACCCATAAAGAAACTTAAAGAGAAAATCCGACTGAGCCGGGGCTACTCGGGCCTGCAGCGCCTGTCCTTTCAGGAGCCCGGCGGCCAGCGGCAGCTCATCAGAAGCCATTGTTCTCTTGCCTACTACGGGATCTTCTCCAACACCCACATCTGCCTGTTGGAAACCATCTCCCCTGAGATCCAGGTCTTTGTGAAGAACCCGGATGGTGGGAGCCATGCCTATGCCATCCACCCCCTCCACTTTGTCCTGAGCCTGAAACAGCAGATTGAAGACAGGCAGGGCCTTCGAAGCCAGGAGCAGCAGCTGGAGTTCCAGGGCCATGTCTTGGAGGACTGGTTTGACTTTAAATCCTATGGCATCCAAGACAGTGTCACCCTCATCCTGTCCAAGAAGAGGGAGGGGAGAGCTCCATTCACACCCAGCTAGTTTCCTCTATCGATGTCTCTGTGCTTTCACTCACTGTCTTATTCTTAGACTTAGCCCAGTGGTCCTCCTTTCTAGACCTCTGCTGGGATGGTCCAAGTCTTGGTACCCAGCGAGTAGGGAACCAGGAGGGGTGTGAGAAGTCATATGAAATCAGACAATAGCTGGGCATTCGGTGTGACAGTGGAATTCTGCAGCCACCTGGGAGGCCAGACCAGGACTTCTTCGATCTTCATGGCCACACTGTCAGGACACGGGTCAGTAAATGGCAGTCTCTCTAATAAGCTACTCTCATTTGTTCAGAGGAAGCCAAACAAGCTTCCCAACCAGTCACAGGGATTGTAATTGGTTGTCCCACCTCCAAGTTCCCCACACCAACAACCTCCAGGGTCTATCTGAAGCCTTCCCCTGCCCCCCAACTCAAGTCAGCCTGCCTCTCACTATCCAAGGCAAGGTAGGGCATCACGTTCCTTTTAAACTGAGAATAAACAGCCTTTGTTTCTTCACATCTGAGCGGTCTTCATTTACAGCCACAAATGCCTCTCAACTTTGGGGACTAATGAATACAGGGAAACTGAGATGAAAAGAGACAAAGTCTGGGAGACTAACGCTATTTTAAAAATTCATGTTGGGCATGGTATCTCGCCTTGGGAATCCCAGCACTTGGGAAACAGAGGCAGGTAGATCCCTGTGATCTGAAGGCCAGCCTGGTCTACATGGTGAATTCTAGACCAGCCAAGTCTCCATAGTGAGACGCTGAACTCAAAGTTTTCTGCCCCTACCTCCTAAAACCCACACACAAACAGAAAATAATTATTCAGAGACAAAGGAAAAACAACCTGATTTTTATTGCCAAAGGATATTGTGCTTGGGTTTATGCTACATCTTCCTTGTGATCTGTTTTCTGGTGGACTTACCATAGCTTCAAGTTCACTTCACAACTGGTTTTCAAAAACCTCTGGGCAATTTAACTATACTATTCTATATATTTTCTGGCTGTTTTGCCTCCAGGGACTGAAAGAGTCTCTTTACCAAAGGGTTAACAGGCTAGCTCAACTCAGACCTTCATATACTTCACATTACATCCCACACTGTAGGTACTACACAAAAGGAATGAACAGGGCTGAGGCAGATCATCTGGCAGAGCACTCACCAGGCACCCATGGAGTCCCTGATTTGATCCCCAGCACTTCCAGGTATGGTGGCGTGTGCCTGTAATACCAGCACAGAGACAGGAAGATGAGGAATTCAGTCATCCTCGGCTACATAGTAGGTTGGGGGCCAGCCTGAGCTACATGTGCCTCTGTCTCAAAAGAAAAAAAAATGCTCTAGATGAATAAGTTTTGCTCCATTTACCCTCCTGTAGCAAAAAACTACAAATTCAGTAGTTTATAAATAACAACAACAAAATAATAACAAGCATTTGTTTCTCACTGAGAAGTTCAAGATTGTTGGCACCTGGCGCGACCTCTTGCTGGCTTATAGATGGCAGCTTCTCACCAGGTCCTCATGTGGCAGGAGAGAAAGGCAGACCTCTGAGAGCATTGATGGCAGGGATAAAGGCTCTGTTCCCTTTTGATCATCTCCATCTCTTGATACCATCAGAACAGAAGGCAGGGGTTCAGCAAAGAAATTTTCAAGAGAGTCAAACATTCGATCATAGCAGCCTTTTTTTTTTTTTTTTTTTTAATTTACTGACTGGGCAGTGGTGGCACAAGCCTTTAATCCCAGACTTGGGAGACAGAGGCAGGCCTATCTCTGAGTTTGAAGCCAGCCTGGTCTACAGACTGAGTTCCAGGACAGCCAGGGCTACACAGAGAAACCCTGTCTTGAAAAAAGGCGGGGAGGTAGGTGGGACTATTGCTCATTCAGTAAATCATTTACCTTTGCAAGGATCTGAGTTCCAAATAAACACCAAGCATGGTGATGCACACTTGTGATCCTAGCGCCAGGGAAGGAGCCAGGCAAATTCCTAGGGCTTGCTGGCCTGTGTGTACATTCATCTGCATACACATAAACATGCACACATGCACACATATGCATGCACATGTCCACCTATGTGGACATGCATCTGCATACACAAACATGCATATGTGAACACACATGACAAAAGACAAAAGCAAATTTGCATGTTAATGAGATGGATGTGCTTGCTTACTTTTACATAAATACTGCCTAAATGTCTGATTCCACGGACACAGAAATTCCTCAGTGTTTGTCAGGGTAGATCAGTATTTTGGTCTTATCCTCGTCAATGCTGAGAATGCCTCTTCTCGTAAATACATTGTGAGAAAGGGCAGACACGTGTTTAGGGTCATTTCAGAAGTTGTTAAAAAACGCTGTCCTAAACCCAGGCTGAAAGTCAACCATTTTTCTAATGACACTCAAGTTAGTAACCCAAATGGTAACTTTACAATCAGATATTCTAATAAAAAAACAATCAAAAGGTGTAATAATTTGATATGTGCCACGGAATGACAGTAAAAAGTTCTTTGTTTTCTGCAATTAAACTGTCGTGTTTCCTAAGGGCAGAAACGTTTATGTGTAAGAACACCGTCCTTGGCATGCATTATTCTCACAGCTGGGCCAAGAAGTTTCAGCACTTGTCGGCGTTATGCGGCATGAAGACACAGTGCCGAGTATGCACAGCGTGTTTCCAGTGCGGCAGGAAAGTCATGCAAGCGCCAGTTCATCACATGCTTGGTTGCAAAATCATTTTCACTCCTTGCACATTCAGAAACCTTGACTATTGCCATATTTTTTATGACCCTCCACATTCATTTCCCCATACTGCAAGATGGTGGGGCCCACCAAAATCACAGTATTTCCCAGAGGAGCCGATCATCTGACCGGCCTTACACTCACTTTACCTACAAGTCAGCGGAGAGGTTTAAACACCGTGCTCTGCATTTTAAACAAGTTCTCCAGGGCTAATCTGCAGGTGTGTCATGGACTGGCTCTAAGGGGTTAGCCTCAGCAACTCTAGGAGTCATTCTGATTTGTTTCTTTGTAAGAGCCTCAGAGTCTACAGTTTAGCAATCTTCCTAAGATCAAAATATGAACTTAAAAAGGTGGCAATTTCATCAAATCGCAAATAAATGCTTTTTTTCTTTAAAAAGAAGTAATCCTTCTGTCACTGCCTCCTTGCTTGACTTAAGGATATTATCGTTGACTATGAAAAGAAAAGAGAATAGGAGAGAGAATGGAAGGAAAGAAAGAAAAGGAAAAGAAAGAAAAGAGAGAGGAAAGAGGAAAAAAAAGGAAAAGAAAAGAAAGGAAAGAAAAAAGGAAAGGAAAGGAATTTAAAGGAAAGGAAAGAAAAGCAAAGGAAAAAGACGATTGGAGAAGGTGGTGGTGCCTTGGACCCTTCTAGAGCTCATCTTTCAGTACGGATACCCGCCAATGGTAGTCTGAGAACTACAACCCCCATGATGCTTTGACGTGGGTCATGTGAAAGGGAAGGACAAATCAAAAATGGACGCTTTCCCCATAATCCTTTGCAGCATCTCAAGATGGTGGCGCCCAGTGGTACCATGAGCGATTCGGAGAGCAGCAGCAGCAGCAACAGTGATGCCGAGGAGCTGGCGCGGTGCCGCGAGGCGGCGACGCCCGCCTGGGGGCTGGAGCAGCGCCCGCTGGAAGCAGAGAAACCCAGAGCCGGTAGGCGGCTGCCCGAAGGGCCGGGTTCCTCTCCTGGGGCCTGAAAAGGATGCATGGTGGAGGAGCAGCCTCCGCGACTTGATGTCTTCGAGGCGTTTTCTTCAGAAAGCTTCTGAGACCACTTGGGGATCAGATTCACACCGAGGGCGGAGGGTGATTCCTTTATTCCAGCGGAGGCGGCTGAGGCACCTGAGTGTCTCCTGACGGCGCTTTCCTCCGTGCGTCCTCGTTGCCACCCTCTGGGAAGGTAGCTACCTGAGATGACCGAGCTGCACCCTGTCCTGTATTATCAGAATTCTGCCTTTCCCGGCCCCCACATGCTGTCCCACTCTGACTGAGGTCACCAGTGAGTATATCTAACCGAGATTCCCCAGCAAACTGGAAATGAATCCAAAATCTGCCAGTATAGGGATTCTTATCATGGTTAGAAAATCCGACAGTTCCTATTATTTGGAATAGAAAGAATACTGCATTTTACTTTCATTAACTCCTAAATGAAATTTAACGTAATTTTTCTTCATGCATGTGAGCAACAAGCCACAATCATTTGACAAAACCTGCAGCTTTTATTCAGCAGCTGTCACCATATTGTTATGTCTTGTTTTTTCGAGAGATGCTTTCTCTGTATAGCCTTGGCTGTCCTGGAGTTGGCTCTGTAGATCAGGCTGATCTCGAACTCATAGACATCCACCAGCTTCTGCCTCCCAAGTGCTGGGGTCAAAGGCGTGCACCACCACTGTCTGGCTCCATTACAGTTTTTTACAGATATAGTGAAGTATTTTATTTACAGTACAATGTTGGTAAGAAGTCATTTACATTCTTCTCTACTTCAAAGTTCCTGTAATGTTTAGAGCCATCTCTAGATCAGTGAGACGGCTCAGCAATTGCCACACAAGCCTGGGAACTGGATTCCCAGAACCCATGGTGGAAAGAGAGAACTGACTCCCAAAACTTGTCCTAGGACTTTAGACACACAACAACAATATTATCATTTCAAGTCTAGGAAGGGAATGAACATGAAAACAAAAATATAATACTAACTATGAAAGGTGATTTTATTTGTTTGAGACAGGGTCTCTCTGTATAGGCCTGACTGTCCTGGAACTCACTCCGTAGACCAGTTTGGCCTTAAACTCACAGAGATCCACCTGGCTCTGCCTCCTGAGTGCTGGGATTAAAGGTGTGCGCTGCCAAGCCTGGTTTAAAAAGTGATCTTTAAAATCTGTATTATATTTTATTGTGTGTACGCACAGGTACGCATGTGCACACACATGCTACAGTACACATATGGAGGTCAGAAGTCACTTGTCTCCTATCATGTGGGTCCTGGGGATCAGACTGAAGTTGGTAGGCTGAGCGGCAAGTGCCAGGTGAATAATCTTGTCATCCCTGAAAGGTAATCACCTCATTTTATAGATGTAAGAAACAAAAGTGTTGTGAGTTAAATGACTCACCCTGGGCCTGGAGTTTGACACTGTTTCTGTTTTGGGGGAGGACCTGTCCATCTCTCTGTACTCGTAATGGGGGCAACTCCTCATGCCTTTTGCGCTTGAGAAGACAGATGTCCGTCTCCCACACACCCACCTCCAGGGGAAGCAGGCATTTGAGAGCACACTGGCAGAGAAGTGTCTCAGGCAGGCCCGCTGCGCATACATAAAGGCATCGGCACAATGGTGACCCTGGGCTTAATGCTCCCTGCTGTACGTCATGCTGAGAGCCATCAGAGCCATCTTTCAGCATCTCACCTGTATAACAGCTAGCCTGTCACATCCTCAGACTCCTCAGTGATGTGAACAGAACCCCTGTCTGCCCTTGGCCTCTTCTGTCTCGTTCTGTCCAGTGGCCTGAGATACTCTATAAAAACCTGAGCCAGTTTGTATCACTGGAGGCCCAGGTCTTCACATTGGCCTCCTGGGCGGTCTGAGTAATCTAGCCCCCGCAAAAAAGTCTCTCTCTCTACTCCTCTCCTAGCCATGCTGGCCTCTAGCTAGCTCTCGGTACCACAGGTTCCTGCCTTGGCAGACTTCCTTCCTGGTGCCTGAAGACTCTCCCAGGTACCCACTTGACTCACCCCTTTATGTCTCTCAGATACCTGCCCAACAGTCTTACAAAGCCTTCCTTTCCACCTTTGGAGGAAGAGACCCCTACACTGTGCTCCTCGCCTTTTGTTTTGTGGTTTTTATAAGCTATTACTATTCTCCAGTTTTATATTGCATTAAAGTGTCGCTTAGCATCTGCTTTCACCAAGAACACAAGTCCTCAGAGGACACCTTCATCTGTCTAAGTGTCCAGCAGGTAGGGTATTCAGCATTTGTTCAGCGGACTCCACCGCCCTCGGCATCCCCAGTCATCAGCTCTCCCACCACGTACAGCCTGGCACAAGCACTCAGTAAACCGTAGACAGATTGCACTTGGGCTTGCCTGGTAAACATTAACTGGGCCTCTGGAACCAAATGACCTGTACCCTCTTTCCACCTCCCGTCATATCAGCTGTTGGTCACGCATGAACTCAAGGCTAGCCTGAACTACAACAAAACCTCATTTCAAAAAAAATTGGGTTTTAGACTCTAGTCTAAATTATTTTACATGTCTTTGACTTTAGCTGTTTTGCAGAATGGGGATAATGATCACCTCTCAAATGGAAATGGGGGACTGTCCTTGAGTTACACGTGCAAGTCACTTACGTACACAGCCACTGTCACTCTTAAGCACCGCATTCTTATTGCTCCACAGGTGCTGCGGGGAAACAAGCACCAGCCTCCCAGCCAAGCCGCAGGTACTGTGTGTTCTGCATAGACGCTTCTTTGAGTCAGTGAACAAATATCCCCTGCGCGTGCCAGATGCTAGGTCAGACCACAGGGTGTCAGAGGGAACAAGACAAGCAGTCCCTCCCTTGAGGGCAGCTTCTAAATGACAACTTGTGCGTGTGTTACAGGCGTGAGGTGAACCAGCATGACGAAGATGGCAACGAGCTTCAGACTACTCCTGAGTTCCGAGCCCATGTGGCCAAGAAGCTGGGCGCGCTGCTGGACAGGTGAGCAGGAGTACACTTTATCTCATGATCCTTTTGCCTCAGCCTCACAATTCTGGGATTACAACCATTGTGCCCCAAACCCAGGGAAAAAAAAAAAATAAAAGAGAGAAAGAGAAAGAAAAGAAATAAAATTTTTCAAATTTAAAGACAAAAGGTACTTTTGGTATTACCCTAAATGTCATCCTGAGTGTGGCACCTCCTCTCCCTCAGCTCCATCGCCATCTCAGAAGTATGGAAGAAACCACGAGAGGAGGAGGTACAGCAGGCGGCAGGCGAGGACGGTGAGTCCTTAAAGTGCTGATAACAGCTGCCATAGGGCCACAGGGCCAGCAGCAGCACAGGTTTCTTTTTGCATCTGCTGTCCCCGCACTCTGAGGCAGGCATTATGGCACCCCATTTCCAGAATGAGCTAGCTCTGAGAACCCCCACTTGTCCTTGTACACAGAGAAGCACTATGCCTTCTTATTCCAGTCTTTCCCACCCACCCTGTCTGATTCTGTCCCGTGGCCTCATTGGAGGCTGATGCAGGCAAGAGACTCAACTGCTGACTTCTAGAAGCCTCTGAAGGCTAGGTGGGGTGACACACACTTTTAATTCCTGCTCTTGAGGCAGAGGCAGGTGGATCTCTGTGAGTTAAAGGCCAGCCTGTTCTACATAGCGTGGCACTGTCTGAAAACAAAGTTCACCAGAAGCCCCTGAAGCTTGCCGTCTAAATGTGGCAGTCAGTGGGTGCCCCTCCAGCCTCCCACCCTCTGGCTCTCTCTCTTACACTCACACAGAAGACATGTCTGAGCCCTTGCCACTAGACTGGGAGTCCCTCAGGACAGGCTGCAGCCTCAGCACCAGGGTCTGCCTCTGCTCTACCAACAGCTGACTCTGACTCTGTCCTTGTGGTTCTTAGGCTTCCGCCTCTTCTTCACATCCATCCCCGGAGGCCACGAGAAGGAAGCTTCTCCGAGACCCCACAGGAAGCGCCAGCCCCCCAGCTCCAGGTGAGAGCTCACAACCTCTCCTTGCCTCTCCTGGCTGAGCCCGTGGAATAGCTAGGTAGCCCCAGTCAGGTCCATACCAAAGGGAGAGACCGATTGGGTAACAGTACGAAGTATGCCCCAGCAGGAAGTGAGCAGGGTCCTCCTGGGGAGCTAGTCTTCACCAGCAGCCATCTTGGGCCAGGTTCCTCCCTTTATCATCCTTCCCTTTGAGAAGCTCTGTGAGGTTTGGGCATTATCGGGGTCCTCCTTGTAGATTAGAGTACCGAGGGTCAGAGAGTTCAGGTACTTGATGCAGTCACGTGACCGACAAGCAGCGAAGCTGACCTTGGAGCCCGAGTGTGCCTCTCCTCTAAGTCTGAGCTACTTGGCTGCCACCGCAGCACCGAGGCCCATCCAGATGCCAGCTAACCTGACTCCTGTCCCCAGCAGCAGTGAGGACAGTGGCGAGGAATGGCAGCGCTGCCGGGAGGCGGCTGTGTCTGCGTCAGATATTCTCCAGGAGTCAGCCATACACTGCCCTGTCAAGGTGGAGAAGGAGGCCAAGAAGAAGAAGAAGAAGAAGAAGAAGAAGAAGAAGAAGAAGAAGCTGAAAAAGAAAGCCCAGGAGGAAGCTGACATTGACTTGGCTGGAGCCACAGGCCTAAAACAGGTAAAGGAAGCAGGCAGCATCAACGGGGACCCGGTGACACTGGGGACCAAGAAGAAGAAAAGGAAGAAAAAGGCCAAGAAAGCCAGAGCGGCTTCCCCTAGCCCACCAGCAGAGTGTGCAGTGGCTGAGCCTGAGAACTGACCCCAGGCTGTAGGTACCATGGCTACTAGCCCTGAGGATGAAGCACCTGTGGGGTCAAGACAGAGCCAAGCCACACTCCCCCCAGGTTCCAGCATTGACTCTGCCCACAAATGACTTCAGCTGGGCTTTGCTCAAGAGTCCACACAGAGAAGCCGGTGTGTGGGGAGAAGCCTGGATGGACTTGCGGTTCCAGAGCCTTCCGTCACCTCAGGAAGAACGGCTCTTTCAGCTTTTGAGACTGAATCTCAGAGCTTCCATCTCCCCCACCTGCCAAGCCCAGTGTGACTATGGTCTTTAAGAATGAGGGGAGAAGGCTCCAAGCTACTAAGGCCCAGAAAAACTTTTGTGCCTCTCCCCCAGCCTATGTCCCCCAGACATAACATTGTGTGGAAAAGAAGGAAAGCTATTCCCCACCTTTTTTTCCCCCCACAGTTTTCTTCCCCCAGATTTGTTACTAAGCTATCCATAATGACATGTCTAAGTCAGTTCATTCCCTGAAAACCGGGTGCCAGAGTGCTGAGGGCCTACTTAGTGGTGGGGTGCAGGCTTGGGTACAAGGCCCCAAGTTTTGCCTACCAGCATCAAAGAGAAAAAGGAAATTAAATTACCAGGTAACCCCAGATGTAGACTGGGTACTATCCCTGGTCAGTACTGATCCTTTTTGTTTATTGTTTGTCTGAAAGAGTCTCTAACTCCAAACTGGCCAGCTTCCTGTCTGGCCTCCTATGTGGTAGGGTTACAAGAATGAGCCATTGGTGCTGTGCTATTGTTTGAGTGCTGGGGATCAGACCTATGGCCTCACACTTCCAAGTCGAGTGTTCTACTGCTGAGCCGCATCCTCAGTGCGGAATGTTAAGGGGACATCTTAAATACAAACCACATGTGGGATCCTTCCACCCACACCCCAGATCTGCTTCTTCACCCAGCCTCAAGACTACGGAAAATGACATGTGTACCAGGTCTCTTGCCGAGAGTCTTCTACAAGGATGGCACACAAATTCAAGTAGTCTGGTTTCCAGTTAGAAAAAAACAGGCATATGAACATGTGTCTTCACATGGAGTGAAGCCTGTGCCGGCTTCCCTCTGCCTTCCCTCCTGGCCACTGATGGACAGTCAGGAAGCTCCCATGCGCTTTTTACTGGCTTTACTAAAAGTTAAATAAATGTATATTCTCACCCATAGCTGGGTGTAAGCTGCAGGGAACACTGGCTCCAGGCCTTAGTCCCTGACAAGGAGCCTACTGAGGGCCTGGTTCTCTGCAGAAGGCACAAGGAGATGAAGTCACGTGCGCTCTGCTTCTCACAGCTGCACCTTGGATTCCTCAGAGTGGCTGCCAGCCACAGGCCAGGTAGGTGGCTCGTTTCTGCAGCATCCTCTCCACTAGACATTGCCCAGACCTTGCTTTCTGAGTTCTGCTGGTTTCCCTCACAAAAGGAAGGAAGGCTTGTCAGGGCCCTAAAGCTCCTCCCTAAAGAGGAGCTGATGGCCCATGACATAGCTTTGGCATGAGTCACTCACCCTAATGTTCCTTAGGGTGTGTGTGACCTTAGCCCTGAAGTGGCCTTTCTAGTGGAGGCAAGTGACCAATCTGGCATCAGAAGACACAGTCATGGGAGCAAATAGCCTGCAAATGAGATCCAGGGGCTGGAGAGGGCTAGCTCAGGGAAAGCCTAGGAGAGCCCTGCATGGCTCCCCTCAGCTCCCAAGCCTCGAAGAACAGGCACTTGGGAAACGCCCCTTTGTGGTAAGGAGGGAAAGCCACAAACAGACATGTGGATCTCTGGCTGGAAGGAGATGGCCCAGGTGGGATGACCTGTGATGCACAGGAGACAAAAGGCAGCCGAGTCAATCTAGAGCCTCAGAGCTGAGCACAGAGAGATCCTTTGGGGTCACAGGCTCTACTGGAGGGTGCCGGCATCACAGGTCTCCCCCTTCTGTTCCAAGTGTCAAGTTTTCGATTCAAAGCAGCAGAGAGTCTTCCAAAATACTGCCCTGACCGGGCTCTCCTCCAGCTCTTTGTGGCTTCCTTTTCAGGCTGAAACGCCTCAGGGCTGTCCCTGGAACTGGAGGAGCAGCCCAGGGGTGAAGGCATAGACTTCTGGGAAGGCCAGCAGCCCGTGTCAGGGGATACATGGCAGGCTCAGATGTCCTCCAGGCTCAGATGTCCTCCAGGCAGCATGGCTGTGGCCCTCCTCCCCCCCGTGCAGGCAGTGCTTCCTCTGGGGACCCAGCTCCTGGGAGGCAGTCACCATGGTTACTGAGAGGAAGAGGCCATCTGGGTGGAGATAAAAGTCTCGATGACACCATGGTTGGACGGCAGCAGGTGGCTGTGCCCATTAGTGGAGTCGGAGCTCTGGTACAGGACCAGGCTGCTGGAGGACACTGCAGAAGCAAATGATGTCACTGGCTGTCAGCCAAGTCCCCTCTGACCCACTCATCCCCAGGGAAGCTCTGGAGGGAGAAGGTGGAGCCTCAAAAGAGTCCTGGCATCCCTCTGCCCTCAGCCTATAGGGAGCCCCCCGCCCACCCCAGGTGCACCCCGAGTTCTTGCTCTCCTGGGCTGAGTCAGACACTAACATGGCTGTTTTTTGTGTTACTGAGGAGTGACCCCAGTACAAGGGCCTCCTGCTTGTATACAGCTCCTCAGAGGGTATTTTGGAGACGTGGTTAACGGTGAAGTGGCTCTCGGTAAAAGAAGTTACTGTGTGGGTGAGCTACAACCGATCAGAAGCCCTAAACTGGAGAGAAAACTGAAGTTTCCTAGAGAAGGAATTCGTCGAGGAGACTGGTTTACTCCCACCTGCGTCCCAGCTGCTGCTGGTCTGCTGGACAGATGTGCAAGTCCCACAGCTGTGCCTGTCAGTCCCATCAGGAAATCTCCCTGGACACTTGACTGCTATTGACACTGTCTCCAGAGACCCTTAACTGCTAATGTGGCAAACAGACGAGCTCTGGGGCTGACTGGTGACCTGTCTGCCACCACAGCTGTGGGAGGTGGAGTGGTCCCTCACCTCTAGACTGTGCAGTTGCCCATCCGGACAAGGAGACAGCAAGTGTGTTCAGTAACTGCTGTTACAGCCACAAGGGCCAAATGTGGGATCTGAGGCTCCATAGGAGACCAGGTTTCCGGAAGTCCCAAAACTGGGAGCAGAGAGCACCCCGGAGCCCAGCAGCCTCACTCCATGATGTAGGCTGTAAACTGAGTAGGTGGAGTGGGACAGGGACTGAGGAGTTCACAGCCATTGTGATGCAAACACATGAGCCCTTCCAGTTTCCCAGATGAGGCCAGAGAGGCAGACTTGTAGGTGGAAGCTGAGCTTTTAATGCTGGCCCTGAGCATTGAGGAGATGGCATGGTGGGTAGGGGTACTTCAGGGCAGGTGAGGAGGCTGAGCAGGTGAAGACGTCAGCTACCAACTGAGACAACCTCAGCTCAGTCCTTGAGCCCCCGCTGGAAGGAGAGAACCAACTCCTGAAAATCGGTTGACCTCTGACCTCCACACACATGCTATGTCACAGGCACATCACACACATGACCACAACACAAAGCACAGTTAAAATAATTTTAAATCTTTTAAAAGGGCACCGAGGTCGGATCCCCAGCACTAGTGTAAAAAGCCAGCTACCTATGTCTGCACTTGCATGTAGCTGTAGCCCTCGTGCTGGGGGGTAGAAGCTGGCAGATGCCCAGAGCTCACTAGCCCGGGAGCTCACTGGCCAGCCCGCCCAGACAAAATGGTGAGCCTTCAGTTCAGTGAGAAACCCCGACTCAAGGGAAGAAGACAGATTGCTGCGGAGAAAGACACAAAACATCCTCCCCGGCCTCTGCATGTACATGCATGTGTATATACCCCTGTACATTCACATGCAGAACACACACACACAGGCCTGAGGCCAACCAAACGCACACAACTGGCGCATCACTTCCGGCTCTCCATTCTGCTCCTGCATCTTTTGAATGTTTAACCTGTCCTCAGTCATGGAGCTGTGCCTTTAACTTTGATCCCAAGCAACTGTATACACTGCTTGGCACGCTGCAGACACCCCCCATTCAGCAGGCAAGAAGCACCTCCCATTTGCTCTGCTCTCGGTCAGTAGCACACATCCCCTCACATCCTGCCGGGAGACCCCAAATGGCTCACCTGTGGGGCTGGTGCTGAGCCGGTGGGTAGGCTGCAGGTGCTGGATGCTCGATGGGTCCTGGCTGGGGATGTGGATGGTGGTGGCTGGAGACGAGGGCTCATGAAGCCCAGGCTCACTGGAGGCCTCCGTGTCAGAGGTGAAGACCTAGGGAATCAGTGCAACCCACTGGGCCCGGCCCCTGAAGCGCGGAGCTGGCGGAAGGGGCGGAGTTGAAGAGGGGCGGGGCTGCGTGGGAGGGGCGGGGCTTCGGCCGGCAGGGCCTTACCTGCTTGGTGGGTGTGAGGCTCGCGAGGGTGCTGAGGTTGGTGTCTGTGATCAGCATCGTCTGTGGAAGCAGGCTTGTGTGCGTGTACTGGGCCACCTCCGGCTTGTGGCTGTACAGCGCTGTGAGGAGAAGATATGCTCCCTGGTCCCTTCCCCGAGAGCCTCAAGACTGAGTACCCGGTGAGAAGTGGGCGTGGGGCAGCGCTCGGGGACCAGGTGGGAGAGATGGACCCCATAGCTTTCCCCATCCCAGGGGCCTGCTCAGCTAAGGTGAACGGGGAGCAGCCAGGGGCCTGCCCCGCACCGACTCTAGCTCCTTTTGCGTACTGAACTTTTTGCGTCTGTTTCCCCCCACTGCCCCAGGAAGAATACAGCCCCAGCTGTCTAAGCAAACGGGCGGCAGAGGCACCGCGCCCTGTGCCAAGTCCAGGTAATGTGGCAGGCACGGATACTGCTTACTAAGTACAGGCGGTGCTGCTGGACTAGGCGCAGGTACTCTTCAGTACTAAGCTCAGCGTGTTGAGCTAAGCAAAGGGACCACAGAGGCAAGCAGGCTCGCTGCGGGGTGCGCCGCCGTACCAAAGGCAGGCCTCAGCAGGAAAGGCTGGTGGTCTCCGTCTGGGTGAGGAGGGCAGAGGCAATACCTCTGCGTCCAGGACGCCTCCAACATGTGCCTCAAAGTTTCACCTCTAGCTTCTCCAACAGGCCTGGGCACTCGCCGAAGCACTCACACAGCAACAGCACGCCCTCCCAGCAACTCGGCTAAGAGCAGGGCGCCCACACCCAGAGAGACCAGCCTCACGCTGGTCCTCAAGTCCATAGCCCCTGTCTCCCTGCCGAAGGGCAAAAGATCTGAACCCAGGGCTCGGCATAAGGTTGTGCCCATGGCCCATTCTGTGGCCAGCTGATGCAGATCTGGTGTGAGGCTAGGTGCGTGTGCGTGCGTGTGTACATGCATGCGTGTGTGTCTGTACACATGAAGGCATGTAAGGCCAGTAGAACCTCAGCTGTTGTTCCTCATGTACCACCCAGCAGGACTTTGGAGAAATTTCTTTCACCTGCCTGGAGCTCAGGAGGCTAGACTGGCTGGCACAAGCCCCAGCGATCATGTCTGGGCTCTGTGGCCACAGGAAGTGCCCACCAGAAGCCGCCCCCACTGGCTTCTGAAGGATGGGACTGGGGCCCTGCCTGGCTGAGCTATCTCCCCCAGCCCCAGCCCGCGTGAGTCTTCAGTCTCCTTCATGTAGCTCCCACATTTTGCTACAGAAATAACAGTGCTGTGTGGACAGGCGCTGCCCAAGCTGGCCTGGGAGTAATCCGTCACACATGATCTGCCCACACGCCACCTCTCTAAACGGGAGTGTTCGCAGCCTCAAGGGTTTCAGAGCAGAGGCTGCTTCAACACCTAGGCAAAGCTGGAAGCATGACCAGAGGACGCCAGCACACCGAAACGTTCACAGGAGCTCCACAGGCAGCCTGCACCACATGTCGGCAGACCCCAGCACCTGCCCCGGCTCGTGCCTACCCAGGGCCCACCGCCAGCCCACCTCTCCCAGGCAGGCGTGAGGGGTGCTCACCGTGCGGGCTCTGCAGCTGGGCCATGGTGGCCATGAAGGGGCTCTGGGCCACGTGGCTCTGCACGGGGGGCATGAGAGGCTGCTGGTAGGAGGGGTGCAGTGGCTGGGAGAACTGGACTGGCTGCAGGGTGGTCAGGCTGCTGCCCATGCTGTTGATGACCGGCACACTCTGTGCCTGAGTGGACGCCAGACCTGTGCGCAGCAGGGCGGGAGTCAGCCAGGCCTCCCACCCACCGCCCCGTGTCCTCTCTGGACCCAACCCAGACCCTGAGGGACACTATTCCTTCTTCTCAGAGCCTGTGGGTTGGAAGAGGGAGGGGAGGGGCTGAGAAACAGCCCCACAGTAGGACAAATTTAAGTGGCCATGAAACGTCATTCTCCAGGTCTTCAGCTTTGTGTCTGGCCTGGTGGGAAGGTTGGGCCGTGAGTGGATTAGAGGTTGTCAGGCTGGGTGCCCTGCAGCCCTGGGGGTTCCCACCAGGGGTGAAGCTTAGCTCTCTGATCCCTATGTTTCACACACTGAGCAAAGTTCCTGCATATAAAGGGTTTGAGACTTAAAATAAGTAAATAAATAAAAACTCCCAAAACCTAGAAAAACACACATGGGCTAGAGAGATAGGTCAGTGGCTAAGAGCACTGGCTGCTCTTCCAGTGGTCCTGAGTTCAATTCCCACCTGATGGCTCACAACCATCCATAATGTGATCTGATGTCATCTTCTGGCATGCGGGTGTACATGCAAATAAAGCACTCATATGCATTAAAAATAGTAAATAACTCTTTAACAGCAAAAAAGGGAAATTATGACTTAAAAAATACTCAGGCAGCAGAGGCAGGTAGATCTCTGTGAGTTCAAGGCCAGCCTGGTCTAGAAAGAGAGTCTAGGATAGCCAAGGCTACACAGAGAAACCCTATCTCAAAAAACAAAAACAAAAAAAAAAAAAAAGGAGCAAAAATAAATAAAGAAGAAAACATCACACACACAGACCCTTCCCCTGCTGTTTTCCTACTGTCTTCTCAGACTGTGATTTCAATATACTTTCTACACGGTGCTTCCTAGTTTGGTTTGGTTCCCTGGCATCATGGGTGCCTAGCCACAGGCTCTCAGAGAGTGGGTGTTCTCTGAGTCCCAGAGTCTCTTTCCAGATCCCAGACTCTGAAGAGGGCCCAGGTGCCCTCCACCCCCACCCACTCACCAATGACCAGGGTGGAGGCGCCTGTGTTAGTGAACGTGGGGCCCAGGGAGGCGGGCTCTCCAGGCCCAATGGTCATGACCCCAGGCAGCGAGGCCATGATGAGGTTCTGCGGCTGCTGGTTGAGACCTGGAGATGTCTGCTCCAAGCTGTGCAGCGCTGTCAGGGTGCTGACCGGAGGCAGGGGACCCCCGGTGGCTGAGACCTGTGAGGGGAAGCCGAGTCGAGCTGGAGTGTCCCCACACTGTCTCCCAGCCACAGGGAACAAGGCTGGGAGGGGTCCCCGCCCGGGGTGGGGCTGCTCACTCACCAGCTTGGCCTCTGTGCTCAGCAGGCTGCTGCTGGGCTCCAGGCCCGTGGGGGACACCTGGTGTAATGCCGCAGACACCGTCACCAGGGGGCCGCCGCTGCTGGAGGACACCTCAGCCGCCTCGCTGGTTGCAGACTGCCCGTAACGCACACCTAGGGTGGGGCGCAATGTCCAATGTCTGGGGAGCCTCAGTACCCCCACTTTCCTGTCCTCTCCTGCCCCACACACTTCGCCACACTGGAGCCGACTGGTTTGCTCGGGTTGACACCCCAACTTTCCTCCTGGGCTAGCTGCTTCCAGCTCTTTTAATGCATGGTCCTGAGTGCCCCACCGCTTGGGGCTCCCCTCTCTGTGCAGAAGACTGAAAGAACAATGGGACTGAGCTGAATCGAGGCTCATAGAACTAAATGGAAATGAGCTGAGCTGAGCAGAATGACTGCGATTGCCCAAACTTAATTAAATCTTAAATGGGGCAGAAATGAGTTGAGCTAGATTGAGCTTTTGCTGAAATGAACAAAATTAATCAGACTGAACTGAATTGAGATTTGCAGGCTACTATCTACAGGGCCACATCCTCAGAGTCAATCAATTGTTGCACATCTGTCTGGAGCACGTGTGTGTGTGTGTGTGTGTGTGTGTGTGTGTGTGACCAGTCCCCAGACAAACAGTGTAACTGTCAACATCATACTACATTAGGTATCATGAATCATCTAGAGATGATTCAGCCTACAGTCAGATGTGCATGGGTGAGAGGGAGGCAGATACTGCTCGAGGTGTCTACAAGAGGTCCTGGCCCTAATTCCCAGGCACCAAGGGATATAGCATGCAAAATGAACTGGATTCTGAGGAATTAGTTTGTGCAAACTGAATGGCTTGACTGGGAATTGGCTGGATTAAACTATGATTTGAACACAATTGAGTTCAACTGAAATGGTTTGAGTTGGTAGATCCAAAGTGATTGTGTTGCATGGAAGAAACCAGAGGCAAGCTAGGTTGAATAGAGTGGGTCAGCATGGAATGGACAGTGTGGCATGGACAGCATGGCACGGATGGGGTTTAGAGAGTGGGGAGAATGGTGTGAGCAAGTGTGGGTCCACCTAAATGAGGTGGGCAGGGTGCACAGTGTGAGCTGGAATGACCAGAGAGAGTGGAGCGGAGAGAGAAGAATGTAGAACGTGTGAATTGGGCATATCGGGAGGAAGAAAAGCAGAGGGGAAATGGAGTGGATGGGCAGGTGAGGCAGAGTAGGGTGCTGAGCATTTTAGGGGTGGCTGTCACCACTGGGGAAATTCCTCCCGCCCTCCTACCCATCCACTTGTTCTCTTCACATCCTATTCTAGTCTCCCTGCCTGACAGTACTCACCATGGACCTTACTGGGGGAGAGGGTGGGTGTGGGCAGGCCGGGGGAGCTGTGAGCAGGCAGCGCAGGGCCTGGGCCTGGCCCTGGTGGAGGCCCGTTGTATGTGTCCATGGCCAACTTGTGCCGAAAGGCTTCCTCCTTGCGCCGGTTGGCAAACCAGTTGTAGACACGCACCTCTGTGACAAGGTTGGAGCCCAGCCCCTGTGCCTGCGATGGTGACACGCCCCTCTGGATGCACTCTGCCCTGCAAAGATGGTGCCCATGAGCCTCAGGCCTCAGAGGAGGGAGGACAGGGCTGAGAAGTGGGGTCTACCCAGGTGCTGGATTACAGTACCAGCCCCGACGTGTGGTCTTGGGCAAGTATCTTGGCCTCTCTGACCTTAGTCATAATGTGAACAAAATAGCCAGAGGCTGCAGAGGACATGAAATGAGATGAACGGGCCCAAGTGTTGCTCCAGTGGGTGGAGGATTCAAAGCAATGGGAAGAAATTGACTCCTCTCTACGGACAGCAAGGAAGGACTGGTGAGCCCCGCTGAGGACCCAGAGACGCCTTCCCTCCCCCACTTAGGCTCAGCCCTGGCGGTAGCTGGCCCCTCTACCTGTTGCACTCCTCCACCAGGGTCTCCCGTTCTTCCTTGCTGGGGTTCTTCTGCCTCTCGTAGGCCTGGAACAGGATCTGCTGGGACGCCGGGCCCCACTTGAACCGGTTCCTCCGTCCCTTTTTGGTTGGCAGCTCATCACCTGTGGGCTCCTCAATCAGTCCACCCTGGCCTGCGTGGGTGAATTCTGTAGGGACAGAGAGTGGGTAAGCGGGGCTTCAGCCACTCCAACCTGCAGCTGTCAGCTCACCTGACCCTCTCCAGATTGTCTCTCTTCCCCAAGGTGCTGAAGCACAGCAGGTGGCAGCCAAGACTAAAATCTCGGAATTGTCGGACTGTGGACTGTTGATGGTGGAGGGCCTTCCTGGCATGCATGAAGCCTTGAGTCCGACCTGCGGCCAGGCCCATCCACTGCTAAAAGGAGATTTGGTGCCATAAATGGCAGCATTCAAGAGGCAAAGGCAGGCAGAACTCTGTGAGTTTGAGACAAGCCTGGTCTGCATGTGGAATTCCAGGTCTGTTCAGCTCTTCACTCAAGGGGTAGCTGCTTGGCTGTATTAACTCTGTGAAAATGCACTGAGAGAGCCTGGTACTGTCGCCCCTTCTAAAACCCCAGCCCTCTGGAGGCTGTATCGGGAGAGTTGCTATTAGTTTGAGGCCAGCCTGGGCTGCATAACAAGTTCCAGGCAAGCTGGGGCTACAGGAGGACCTTGTCTCAAGAAGGAAGAAAAGCCAATTGGTGGTGGCTCACACCTGGGAGGCAGAGGCAGGTGGATCTCAGTGAGTTTGAGGCTAGCCTGGCATACAGAGCCTGTTCCAGGACAGCCAGGGCTACACAGAGAAACCCTGTCTCGAAAAGGGGGGAAAAGAGGGGTGGGGGGAAGAAAACAGAGGAAGGAAGGAAGGAAGGAAGGAAGGAAGGAAGGAAGGAAGGAAGGAAGGAGGGAAGGTGGGAAGGTAGGAAGGAAGGAGGGAGGGAGGGAAGGAAGGAAGGAAGGAAGGAAGGAAGGAAGGAAGGAAGGTAGGTGGGAGGGAGGGAAGGAGAGAAGGTAGGAAGGAAGTTGATTTCGATGAGTTGTACACTTTTTTTGGATAGAGTTTCTCTGTGCAGTCCTGGTTGTCCAGGAGCTCACACTGTAGATCAGGTTGGCTACCATGCCCAGATGAATTGTACACTTAAAAATCTGTGCGCTGGTACTGAGTATGGTGGTACACACCATTAATCCCAGCACTTGGGAGGCAGAGGCAAGTGGATCTCTGAGTTCAAGGCCAGCCTGGTCTACAGAGTGGGTCCCAGGACAGCCAAACCTACATAGTGAGACCCTGTCTCAACAACAACAAAAAACAAAAAACAAAAAACAAAAAAAAAAAAAAAACAGCATCAGCAAAAACCTCACCACCAACAACTAAAGATCTGCAGACTTTTGTATAATAGGCCTATTTTAAAGGTTTTTTTTAAAAAAAATTGTTATTAAAATAACGATTCAGTCATTCTACTGAAAACTAGAAGACTGCTTTTGCCTCTGGGGTTCCTGAGCTGGTAGGATGATGCTACAAGACTCCTAGGACCAATCAGTGCTCCTAGGAGGAGACCCCTGAAAAGGAAGCCTACATGATGGTGCACAGCTGTGATCTCAGCATGTGGGAGATGGAGGAAGGAGGAGCAGTTCAGGGCCATCCCTGGCTGTGTAGTGAGTTTGAGGCCAGAATCAGTTATACATGAGACCCTTTCAAAACACACAAAACAAAAGAAAAGAAAAAAAGGGGGGCGGAGGAAAGGGGGAAAAGAAAGGGAAAAAAAAAGAAAAAAGTCAGGCCATGAAATGTACAGCAGTCAGTTAAGGCCCCCGAAGGTGGCCCTGCCTGGAACAGCCTGGGTTGTTCACATTCGTGAGCCAATAAATTCCTTTTTTTTAATTCTTACACCAGTTGGAATTGAGGCCCTGCCGCATTTTATGGAAAGATACCCAATACTTTGGGCTTGTCTTGAACATTCTTCTCCTATCCTTCAGTTTCTCTCTTAAAGTTAAAAATTCTGGTCTAGGGGCTAAAGAGATGGCGCAGTGGTAAAGAGCACTGGCTGTTCTTCCAGAGGACCTGGCTTCGGTTCCCAGCACCTGTGTGGAGACTCACAACCATCTGTAACTTTAGTTCTGAGGGGTCCAGTGCCCTCTCCTGGCCTCCAAAGGCACCAGGCACACAGATATAATTTATGTTGGCAAAACACCTATACACATAAACAAACATGTCTTCCCTGGGCTGCAGGGATACATCTATAAAACAAGTCCTGCACGTAAGGCTCAGGGACATTTTTGGACTGGGGGCAGAAATGTAAGAACCAGAAGATCAGGAAGTTTGCTGCAAGACTATTAGAAATGTCAGAATCTACCCATGAAGTCTCACCAAGAAAACAGCCTCAATGTGAACTGAACAAGGACAATAGACATGCCAGAGTGGATAGGGGGAGGGGTGCTCCAGGCCTCGGCACTACAAAAAAGCTAAAGGCAACTGAGGAATCCTGAGAGCAGGAGAAATGGGTGTCATCAAGGAAGAGCACACCAACTCACTATCCAATACCAAATGGTCAGCCCTGAAAACATACACAGGTAACACTATACAGAACGAGCAGGTTACAGCTAGGAACAAATGTATATACACGTACATATATGCATGTAACAACAATCAATGCAAACAGAGGCAGGGAATTTGAAAGAGAGCAAGGAGGGGTGTGTGGGAGGGCTGGAGGGAGGAAAGGGAAAGGGGAAATGATGTAATTATAATCTCGAAAATGAAACAAAGAGAAAGAGTTAAATAAGATAGATCTTTAAGTCAACAACAGCACAGGGCCTGGAGAAATGGCCCAGAGGTTAAGAGCACTGGCTGCTCTTCCAGAGGTGCTGAGTTCAATTCCCAGCAACCACATGGTGGCTCACAACCATCTACAATGAGATCTGGTGCCCTCTTCTGGCCAGCAGGCACACATTGATACAGAATACTATATAAATTAGAAATAAATAAATCTTAAAACAACAACAACAAAACCTCCATCCTGGAGTCTGTTGATCCTGCTCAGGTCATGGGATGGCAAGCACTTTACCCACGTGAGCCCCAGCTCACAGCTGTCCATCAACGACTTGAAAGCCGCTCACTCTGTGCCCCAACACCCTACGTCTAGAAACGTTTTTTAAATTTATTTTTCTCTCAGACATTACATCCAGACAGCAGTTTCCCTCCCTCCACTCCTTTCAGCCCCTCCCCCTACCTCTTCTCTCCCCCAGATCCTCTTCTGTTTACTTCAGAAAGGAGCACACCTTCCAGGGACAGCAACCAAACATGGCATAACAAGTTACAGTAAGATTAGGTTCTTCCCCTCATATCAAGGCTGCCTGGCACAACCCAGTAGGGGGAAAAGGGTTCCAAGAGCAGGCAAAAGAGTCAGAGACACCCCCACTCCCACTCTAAGGAGTCCCACAAGAACAGCCAGCTACACAACCATAACATAAATGCAGAGGGCCTAGATAGACCCATGCAGCCTTCTAGGAACTTTCCCTGTGTGGGTGTTCTTTGCAACAAAGAGTCATGAGAGCATATCAATGGAAAAACCCTAAAAGTCCCTCAGTCAGTGGCCAACTCAACAAACCACAATACCTTCTAGTGACAGCCAACTGTTACAAACCTTAGAGGAAGTCAAAATTGAATTTGCAGAAAACACTTGTCATCCTAGCACTTGGGAGGCTGAGTCAGCAAAGTCACAAGTTCAAGCCTAACCTGGGCAACGTAGTGAGAGCATGTCTCAAAATAAAAAGTAAACAGGGGGTTGAAAACTTAGCTCCATGGTAGAGCACATGCGTAAGTAAGTTATATGCGGCTCTGTGTTCCATCCCAAGTATGAGAGAGAGATCAGAAGTTTCTCAGTCTCTAAGTAATAGTGTCTCAGAGTACGCCAACCTCTGAGCCTTTTCTCGTGCTGTTCCTCCTGACGACAGCACCCTTTCCTATGCCTCCACACAGACACGTAATGGTCATGCTTCCCACTGAAGCTTCCTGAAACCTCTGCCTCCCTGGGGTAGAAGGGCTTATTCTCGCTTCCACTATCAGCTCAGCGTTTTACTCAGCGCTGAGCCCTGCACACAATAGGTGCTCAATAATACCAGCTATTGCCATTTTTTTCTTATTAACCTAGTATAATCCTCATCTCACTACATCGTAGCGATCCCCTCTCTCGATTTCCCATTGAGCAGTGCGCCCCCGGAAGGAGAGACCCAGCATGTGTTTCTGTAGATCCCGCCCCCTTCCCCGGCACTGCAAAATGGGCAGTAGGTTTGGGGAAGTCCCTCGGGCTCCCTCTCGGTCTCACAGGACTGGGTGATGGGGTGGAGATGCCCCCACCCCCTCCGAGCTGTGGGACCTGGCAGGGATGACACAGGCGGGGGCATTACTTACGCTGAGCCACCTCTCGCTGCTTGCGGACGTACCAGGTGTACAGAGCGGCCCGCTTCTGCGTCTTCATGGGGGTGCCCTTGTTGAGGTGCTGGGACAGGTGGGACTGGTTGAGGCCCGTGGTGTCCACCACCTCCCGCTGCGGGATGTTGTGCTGTTGCAGGTAGGACTTGACCATCTTTGCCACGCGCCATGGGTCCTCCCTGGAAGGGAACAAGGACAGGTCTGCTCAGTGGCCCTTCTGACACCTGACACCCTGGGGTCCTGGGGAGTAGGACCCTCCTCTGCAGAGAAGAGCTGTATTTGGGCTCCATGCTAGAACACACATATACATGAGTAGATTCACACCGGAAGTTGTGCCAGGTAGGGGAGACCCTCACCTTGTGACTTCTTCAAAGTTCCTCCTCCCTCCTGAACCCGGAGGTGCTATAGGATGCTTTTTGAAGTATATATATATATATATATATATATATATATATATATATATGTATGAGTATGTGTGTGAGCCCACGCATGTGCACTACAACATGTGTGTGGAGGCCAGTTTTCTTCTCCCGCCTTTACACGGGCCCTGCAGGTTGAACTTGAGCCGCCAGGCTTCTGCAGCAGATGCCTTTACCTGCTGAGCCATCTCATTGGCCTTGTTAAGTGAGTTTTAAACAACTGTTAACAGTGGGAGAACTGTTTAGTTCCCAGAACCCAAAATGAGCCTGACACAGTATGTCATGGATGATACATAGGTAAGTGAATGATGAATGAATGATGATGGATGGATGGGTGATGGATGAATGGATAGATGATGGATGGATGGATGGATGGATGGATGGATGGATGGATAAATGATAGATGGATAAATGGATGATGGGGATGGATGGATGGATAGATGATGGATAGATGGATGGATGGATAAATGATAGATGGATGATGGGTGATGGATGGATGGATGATGAATGGATGGTAGATGATGGGTGGATGGATAGATGATGGATGGGTGATGGATGAATGGGTGGATGAATGACTGATAATGGATGGATGATGGATGAATTGATGGATGGCAGATGGATAGATGGATGGTGGATGGATAACTGATGATGGGTAGATGGATAGATGATGGATGGATGGATGGATGGATGATAGATGAATAGTTATTTTCAGCCCCAACTGGTTGAGCAGCACGTTTGGAGCTCAGCAATACGGAGTTCCAAACTTCTAACATTTCAAACTGAGCTACGGACTGAAACCTGCCCCTAGCTTTCTGAGGCCAGCCCCACAGCCTTCCTGCTGGCTTTCCTGTCCCAGTGGTTAAGAGCACTTGCTGGTCAATCCTGCAGATCCAGTTTGGATCCTGGCACCATATCTGGGGGCTCACAACTGCCTGTAAACCCAGCTCCTGTGAATCTGATGCCCTCTTCAGGCTTCCATCAGCACGCAATGTATTTTCGGTATTCACTCACACAGACACACATACACATAAGTAAAAATAATAAACAAATATTTGTCCAAGCCTGGTAGTGCCACCTTTAATCCCAGCACTTGGGAGGCAGAGGCAAGTGGATCTCTGAGTTCCAGGCCAGCCTGGTCTATACATTCAGCTCCAGGCTAACTGGAGTGCAACTCTGTCTCAAAAGTTCAAAATGGGTAAGCTAGGACTTACAAAGAGCCAGCACAAATCCTCTATCTCCTTTGGTCAGCTTGGGTTACAACAAATGGCCGTTTTACTTAGAAAATAGTGACTGGGCGGGGACGGGGGAGAGGGGAAGGCAGTCTGTATGTGTTCGGTGCAGAAGCCATTTTTAAAGTTATTTTCAGCCCCAACTGGTTGAGAGGCACATTTGGAGCTCAGTGATACAGAGTTCCAAACCTCTAACATTTCAAACTGAGCTATGGACTGAAATCTGCCCCTAGCTCTCTGAGGCCAGCCCCACAGCCTTCCTGCTGGCTTTCCTGCCCTTCCTGGAGCCAGCTCTGCCTCACACCTGTTCTCAGAGGCAGTACAGCTCACCAGCGGGTCTCTTTCACAGGGGTCACACCTAAGACCATCTGAAAACACAGATATTTACATTACGATTCATAACAGTAGCAGAATTACAGTTATGAAGCAGCCGTGAAATACTTTTCTGGCTGAGGGTCACTGCAAGCCAAAGAACTGTATTAAAGGGTCGCAGTTAGGAAGGTTGTGAGCCACTGGCTAAGGCCCTCTGACTTCCTCCTCTTTATCAGCAGTTACCAGACCGGCAGCAGCCACAGTAATCTAAACTGGCACAGCAAATAAGAAGGGCAGATGACTCCTAAGGTCACTGAAGCCGCCTGTGTCTCTCTTTAAACCCAGGAAGTACATTTGATTTGGACGCTGGTTCCACCTATGACAAAACTCCGGTTCAGAACCATGAAACCTTATCCCAGGTTTGATCTAGCTGGGGGCGCCACCTGCTTCGCCCCCCCCCCATATGTTCAGGGGCTTCTGGGAGCCTCACCCCTCCTCCCTTTTCCTGGCTGCCAGTCAGAGCTAGGAGGGAAGGGAGGACAAAGTTCAGCCTGCACTTCTGCAAACACATTTATCTGGTGGCCTTCCCTTCTCTGGCAAGGGCAGCCCTCCCTCTGCTCTCCTCCCTCCCTCCTCTGTAGGAAGAATGGGTCACTTGGCTGTCAGCACAGGTGCACAGGTACAGAGGTACAGAGGTGGGGTTTTTCTGTGTCTCTGATTCTCTCTCTCTCTCCCCTCCCTCTTTCTCTCCTTCCCTAACCTCAACTTCTCTCTCCCTCCCCCATCTCTATCTCTTTTTATTTCTGCTATACTAGGTCAAATAAAATAATAGCTACAGCAGCCACCCTGCACAAACACAGGAAAGAGTTTTGCATGGAAGGCAAGCATTTGAATGGAAGCAAAAGCGTTCAAACTCATAGGAACTTCTGTTTCGTTTGGGGAGGGCAGATGAGAGGTCTCTCTATGTAGCCCTGGCTGTCCCAGACTCTCTTTGTAGACCAGGCTGGCCTCTATCTCACAGTGATCCTCCTACCTCTGCCTCCCGAATGCTGGGAATTAAACACTTCTTTTAACATCAGGAAAAAGTGGTTATAGAATGGCAGGCGGAGGCACGCATGGTGGCCCAGGCCTATGATCGGCACTTTGAGACGCTGAGGATGTAAGATCATGAATTTGAGGCCCCGTCTTAGAAAATACATGGAAAATAAATGCCGGACAGAGCTGAGCGGACCCATCTTTTATGTTTTTCTGGGAGAAGTCATCTGTGCCCCTTGCGGGGGGCAGATCTACTGGATTAGCCTGTCTGTCTGTCTCTTTCTCTTACATGTGTGCAAGCATATGTACACTTATTCTCCCTCTACTGGAAGAAGTAAATGAGTTCCCTGTGGAAATAAAGGCTTTGGGACAGAGCCTAGCCCACAGCAAGGGTTCAGTAACTCGAATGATCTTGTCATCATCATCATCATCATCATCATCATCATCATCACTGTGGTTCTGCCCCCACCTCAGAACCCAGAAAGAATAAAGATGTGTCCTCAGCTTCCCCTCCCAATTCTGGAGTCAAAGCAAAGGCTTTGGGCCGTTGGTTCTCATGTGTCCAGAGCCATGGAGCTAAGAGACTAGACTGAAGGGCCACTCTCCTGGAGAGGAAGCTGGATTATCAGGTGGGGCTGGGGATCAGGCTTAGACCCAAGGAAGATTCCCGGCTGTGCCACCTACTCTCTGAAACGCCCTGTAATATGGCTTAACACCCGTGTCCCCCAATTCCATCATGTATACAGTAGAATTACAGATCTTTCCTATCCTCAGGCTGGGGCACAGTTCAGCTAGCAAGCAGTTTCCAGGCACGCACACACCCTGGATCCAGGTGCTGCAGCAGCACACAAAACTACGTGCAAGCCAGTTGCAGTGGCGCATGCCTTTAACCCTAGTGCTCTGGGGACAGAGGCAGGCAGATCTCTGAGTTCGAGGCCAGCCTGGTCTACAGAGCGAGTTGTGGGATAGCCAGGGCTACACAGAGAAACTCTGTTTCAAAGAGTCAAAAGTTCAAAACAAATAGAACAGGTATGGTGGTGCAAGCCTATAAACGCAGCCGTTGAGGGGCAGAAGGATTAGGAGTTCAAGGTCACCCTTGATACACTGAGTTTGAGGCTAGTCTGCCATACCCAAGGGTGTGTCTGTGTGTGCGTGTGTGTGTGTGTCTGTGTGTGTCTGTGTCTGTGTGTTTCAGAAATTGTGCAGAGGGAAACCCAAGCTTAGCATATCTATAAGTAAGCCCTTAGTGAGTTTTAAAGCCTGGCATGTGATAGGATTCCTGGTCAAGCTGAGCAGCAAGAAAGACTAGGGAGGGGAAGGGAGAGGTGAAGGTGTGAAGAAGAGTGGCAGGGAGCACCAGTGTGCTGCTTTCGAGTCTGGCCTTATTACTTGAGGAAGTCCTTTGCCTCGCTGAGCCTTCCTCGGCTCCTCTGTAAAATGGACGGCTCAAATTACAGGGGCGCTACCACTCAGCTGTGTGTCATGCCTTGAGTCTGTGGCTGAGTGTTGTCCTCACCAACCGCCTGGCTGGCTGGAAACGAGGCAGGCTGTTGTCTGTGAGGCACCCTGTGTGCTGCCCTGCTCCTGTGGGTTTGGCTGGGAGAACTCTACTGCTGTGTGGCTGGGGAAGGCAGGGTGTCAGGAAACAGTGAGGTTGGTGTTCAAGCAGTTGGCAGACAGGAAGGCCTATACAAGGGCAGCCAGCTCAGAACTCTGGATCCCAAGTGCTCTCCCAGGGAGGAGTAGGAGGTGTCCTCAGAGAAGTCTAGTCACTTGTGCCTGGTGTCTGTCAGGGCTGGATGGAGAAGGGGGGGGCAAGTGGTGACATTACAAGCTTTTCCCTGAAGATGTTTTTACATCAGGAGACAAGAAACGTACAGAGACAAATAAAATAACTTAACAATTAAGGGGCGGGAGAAAAGGAGGTGAAAGCGGTGAAGGAGAAAGAAAGTGGGGTACAGCCCCCATGTAGATAGGGCAGCCAGGGAGGAAGCAGGGAACTGGTCCTGAACAGGAAGAATAGGATGGGCAAAGGCCAGGCAGAAATCGGCATGTGCATCCAGGACCCTCGAAGCCAAAATCATAGGCACAGAAGAGGGGGATAAAGAGCGTGGGAAAGCTGGGGGAGGGGAGGGCCTAGAGCTAGAACCAAACAGAGGTTGTCTATACTCATTACCTGGTGACACTGAGGCAGGGTCACACGGTAGAGAAGGACAGAGATCCGAGAGAGACCTGAGGTGTTTGCAGTGGCCCTCACACATGATGCGTAGGAGGGTGGGAGGATCTGAGACCCCCCAGTCCCACCTCCCCTCTTCCAAATGGAGGTCTTTGAACCAACAGCTCCCATGGGGAGTTGGTCCTTAGCACCACTTCTGCCGCCTCAACCTCCCCAATACCCAGGCCTTCATCAGGGGTCCTCCAGCCCTCTCCCCAGAGTTCTGACCCACTGTCCCAAAACTAGAGGCCCCACTTTTGTCCCTGGGACATTTTCAGGTCCCCTTTGTTACCTGAACAATAAGTAACCCAGGTAGTTAGTTATAAACTCCACAGGAACAAGGAGCTGGTTGATAATTTATAGCAACATCTCGAATTTAAATGGAAAGCAAATAGCACGCTGTTAGCATTAAAGAAAACCAACCTGGGAGGGACGCACTCCGGCCTCCACCCAGCTCGGCCTCTCTCCCCTGCCCCTTCTCCCAGCTGCTCAGAGACCCTCGCCTCTCCTGGCTCCTCTGTTCTGCCAGCTCCTCTTCCTCTCTTCCATCCCTCTCCCCCTCTGCTTCCAGGACTCTGCTGGTCTCCAGGGGAACACTCTGACCTCTGCTCAGCTGCTCTGGATCAAGCCTCCCTCCAGCCCCCACTACCCCCACCATGTGGGCTGCTGATCAAGAGGGTCTACCCAGTGAGGTAAGAAGGCTCTTGGCATCCCTGGCCCCTTAGCCCCATACTTAAGCCCCTAGTCCCACCTGGGGCCCCTGAACAGGTCAGGCCCAGCCCCACCCCATCCAGGATTCTTGTGCCCTGGTTCTGGCAATTCCTGGGCCTTTGCCCCTCCCCTGCAGAGAGGCAGCCCTTTGCCCTCTTCTCTCTGCCAAGTCAGGGGCCTGACTGCTCCCCTGCCCCTTTGCCCAAGGCCCAGGGAGGCTCCCTGACACTTCCAGAAATGCTGGGATCCACCAGCCCTCCCCCTCCCCAAGTCATGATCAGGACCTTGGACAGAAAAGAGACTGCCTCCCGAAGTTCTTGGGAGAGGATCCTCAAAGTCCTCAGGCAGCCCTCAGGCCCCTCCTTCTTAACTCTTCCCCTAGTCTATGCCTCGGTTTCCCCATCTGTAAAGCTGATTTACTAACAGCTTCCTTCTGGGGCGCATCTCTATGTTATAGGAATTTAGGTATCATGAAACCCCAACAGAAAATAGCCAGCAGGGAGATAATCCCATGGAAATTGTAGAGGCTTTGGGAACTGGGGGAGGGGGAAGTCCCCACAGCCCCCAGGTTACCCTTCCCCCATCTTGGTGTCGCCATTCTCTACCTTCCCCCCCTCCACTGGGCATCTCCCAGCCACCATCCCCACAGGTTAATGATCACAGGCCTTATCAGAGCCTTTTGCTATTTATAAATTTATAAAACAAAAGAAATAATAATGTGCATGGGTAATTAGTAACCAGATCGGCTTTGCTGGGGAGAGGGGAGAGGCATCATGACAGGAACCCACGCAGCCCTCCAGGAGACGGGGAGCCACACAACAGATGAGGGGGTCTGGTATGGGAAGGCCTCTAAACCTGTTGTCTGTCCAGGTGGTGAGGGGCACATGGCCACACAGGGAGCTGCCACTCCTAAGCTCCATCTGCCTCAGGTAAGAAGCCCCAGGCTTACCCAGCCAGATGCTTAAGGCCCTGGCATACCAGGAAATCCCCTAACACCCCGACATCAGCCTGGCCTCCTCAGAGGCTTTGGGACCTCCCAACCTGGGCCCTGACCCCCTAGCAAAGAAGGTAGAATTTGTGGGAACACAAATGACCACCCTGCCTAAAGATTTCTACCCAGCCGCTGGTTCTCCAAGCATTTTGTTGGGGCCTTGCTTCCTTTGTCCTCTGTCTCAAAGTGACCTCGGGCCAGTCCCCACTGCCTAAGGATATGGGATATGTGGGAGGAAACGCACGGGTAGGTTCAGCAAGCACCCCTTGAGCTCGAGCCCCTCTTGACCACCAGCCTGAAGGCCACAGCTCCCAAGGACTCTCCACGGGACGCAGAGCTTGCCAGGAGGATAGAACGGGCCGCTCTGAGTTCCTTCCTGGGTGCCGGGGACAGGGTAGGGTCCTTACTGCAGAAGTGTCTCCACCACGGCTTTCTGGTGGGCGGCCTCCTCTGGGCTGAGGTTCTCCAGCTCTTTCAGAATGGGTGGCGCGAAGTCGTCCCCATCGTCATCTGTGTCCTCTTCGGAGCCCCGCGTGTCCCCCAGGCCATTGGGCAGCTCGGCCAGGTCCCCTCGACTCCCACCGCAGGGCTCCCCCTTGTCCAGGGGACCACCTCCAACCATCAGGAAGGGCCCCGGCTCCCCCAAAGCCTGGATCAGAGCCTCCTTGCTCAGGCCAGACTCGAGGAGGGCAGCCAGGAGCTCCGTCTGCAGCTGGCTCAGCTTAGAGACCATGGCTCCGCCGCCACCGGGCCACGAGGCCCAAGGCCACTGAGCTAGCCGCCTCCCCCACCCACGGCCCGTGTCTACTTGCCGGCAGGCTGGCAGTCAACGCACCAGGCTCGCTGCACCCACCGCCCCCCCAAATCCCACTAGTCAAGCCCTGTGGGCACCCCCAGCCCCCAACCCTGGCCCCAGCGGCCAGTGAATCAGGGCCCCTGCCTGCTCTGTTTACATTGGAGCCGGGGAAATTCTCCAAGGTTCATATTTATCCGTGTGCTTAGCGAAGGGACTGAACTTTGGACTTCAGCCTTGCAAAGTGCAGGCCTCATGGTCGTGAGAGGGACCGGACTGGGAGCCATGGCCTGCCACTGGGAGTGAGCATAAGGGCGGGTGGGGGAGGTGGAGTGGGGGTCGGGGGCTCAGGGACAGAGGCACCAGGAGCCAGGAGGCCTCTGAGAGAAGCGCCAGGGCCCACCGCCCAGGTTGTTTCCAGCCGGGCACGGGAGAACTTTGAGGGCGGGCTTCTTTGGGCAGCTGGAGCAGCAGGAAGCTGGGCCACTGGGCCAGTTCTCAAGGGCAGAGTGAGGCCGTGTTCCCTGGAGTAGGTCAGTGCACCTCAGTCCTAGCGCAACACCAGGCTCCCCAGACTTGGGTCTTACCACTTCAGACTGCCGTCTTGAGGACTGTACTGTTGTGATGTGTCCCTTCTCATCAATGTGAGATCCCAACCGTGTGTGTGTGTGTGTGTGTGTGTGTGTGTGTGGTTTTATCTCTGTGTGTGTATGTGTATGTGTCTGTGTCTGTGTAAGTCTGTATGTGTCTATGTATGGTATGTGTGTCTGTGTTTCTATGTGTGTGTCTGTGTGTATCTATGTGTGTATCTGTGTCTGTGTGAGTCTGTATGTGTCTGTGTGTGTCTGTGTGTGTGCATGTGTTTGTGTCTGTGTGAGTCTGTATGTGTCTATGTGTGTGCATGTGTTTGTGTCTGTGTGTTTGTGTCTATGTGTGTCTGTATCTGTGTGTCTGTATGTGTCAATGTGTGTTGTATATCTCTGTGTGTGTCTATGTGTCTCTGTGTGTGTCTCTCTATGTGTGCACACACGTGTATTGTTTTTTCAAGACAATCTTACTGTGTAGTTCAGGCTGACCTTGAATCTCTGATCCTCCTGCCTATACCTCCCAAGTGCTGGTACAGGGCCTATACCATAGGCAGTTTTACAAAGTGCTGGGGACCAAGCCCAGGGCCTTAGATATGCCGGGCAAGTACCAAGAGCCTCAACCACAGCACCAAATGCACCCTTTTCATTTTTCTCAGGTATGATTTTCTTCAGAACTACTTAATGAAGGAGGTTCTTTTTTTTTTTTTTTTTTTAGTCTTTTTTTAACGTGTGTGTGACAGCCTGGGTGTGGAGGTCAGAGGACAACTGCAGGAATCAGCGCTCTTCCTCCACCTTGTGGGAACTTAGGTGGTCTGCCGTGGCCAGCAGCACAGTTACCTGCTGAGCCACCTGAGGGGCTCCCTTCCCCGTTTTTAGTATACCCCGGCCCTGCACCACATCATCCCATCAACTCAGAGCCATTTTCATCATCCCAAAAGAAACTCCGCATCTACAGAGAGACCTATCAGTCTCTAGCCCAGCCTCTGGCAGCCAGGGACTACCCTCCTTTCCCCCTTCCCTCCCACCCTGGGTATTTCATGCAAATGGAGTAGAGCCTTGTGACAAAGCTCACTAGTCAGAGCACAGATCCCTCTGTCCCTTTCATAGAGAATGGAAGCCCGTTGTTGAAAGGAGATGTGGTCCTCCCCATACATCCAGGGATGGTCCCCCCCCCCCGGTGTTTCAGCTGTGGGGAGCAGTGCTGCTCAGGACATCCATATCCAGCAGTTTATGTGAATGTGTCTTTTCATCTTTTCAGTTTTTCATCAATTTAAAATACTTAGCACATGGACAAGGAGTTCTAGGCTAGCCTGCACTACATACTACAAGTTAATTTTTGTTTTTTAAATTTGTGAATAAAATATCACACTTTTCACTAGAAACAAGCCCATCCTTCCCTGATTTCATCCTCGCTAGGCCCCAGGGACTTCACCCTCATGGTCCCCTGCATCTTTGTCCTGGTGAGGAGAGCTGCATGCCTGAACTGGGCTGTTTCCAGAGCCTTCAAGGTTCTTTGTAGCTAGGGCCAAGTCTTGCAGTGCATGGGTGGGGAGGAGGCAACAGCCAGAAAACCTCCAAGCCAGCAGCTGGTGAGCCACGCACACATGACGGTGGTAAACCTTGTCCCCGTCCCACGAGGCCCTTCCCACATCTGGTGCTCCACGCAAGAGTCACCCACGGGCTGGAGAGATGGCTCAGAGGTCTTAACTGGTTGTTAAGCACTAGTTGTTCTTCCAAAGATCCTGAGTTCAATTCCCAGCAGCCACACGGTAGCTCACAACCATCTATAGTGATATATGGTACCCTCTTCTGGCCTGCAGGCAGAACACTGTATATATAGTAAATAAATAAATCTTAAAAGAAAAAAAGAGTCACCCTCAGCAATTCTACCACCAGCCATACATGGCTACCAAGAACTTGAATGGTGGCTGAGGCCATTTCTTGTTGAAATGGTGTTACTTTTGATGAACTGGATTGAAAGTTTAAGGCAAAGCTAGGAGGAAGTGTTAAAAGAGCTGGAAGTAGCTTGGTGGTCACACACACACAAACACACACACACACACACACACACACACACACATGCACACACACACAGATGCTTGAATGCACGAGCCCTGAGTTCTGTCCCCAGCAAAGCATTTAAAAACAATTAAGTTAAAATTTAAAATAATTTAAATGGTATTTCATTAAAATGAAATTCATGGTGTGGTGGCTTACACATATAAGCCCAGGACTCAAAGAGGCAGAGGCAGGTGGATCTCTGTGTATTCAAGGTCAGCCTGGTCTGCAAATCGAGTCGAGGACAGCCAAGACTACACAGAGAAACCCTGTCTCAAAACAAACAAAAAAAAAAAAAGAAGAAGAAAATTCATTATTATAATATATTGCACTCACTTATAATTAATTTTAAATTATTTTATTGTTAACTTGTTGTGCTGGCTAGTTTTATGCGAACCTGACATGTTAGCGTCATTTGGAAAGAGGGAACCTCCGCCGAGAAAATGTTCCCGCTGGGTTGGCCTGTGGGAAGAGCCTGTGATGAATTTTCTTGCTTGATGATTGGTGTGGGAGACCCAGCTCACCTGGGTGGTGTGACCGTGGGTGGGTGATCTTAGATGGTATAAGAAGACTGAGCAAGCCGAGAGGAGCAAGCCGGTGAGCAGCACCCCCATGGCCTCTGCGTCAGCTCCTGCTCCTGCCCCGGGATCCTGTCTCGACTTCCCTCAGTGATGGACTGTGATCTGAGAGTATAAACTGAAACAAACCCTTTCCTCCCAGAGGTGCCTCCTGTCATAATAGAAACCTTAACCAAGACACTTATTTATTTACTTTCTGTTTTTGTTTGTTTGTTTTTCCATTGTTTATTTTTTTAAATATGTGTAGGGGGTGCTTGCCATGGTGCACGTATGGAGTCAGTGGACAATTTGGTGACCTCTGTTCTCACCTTCCACTTTGCCTGGTCTGTGTCCAGACTCAGGCTCCAAGCACCGAACTGATTTAGTCAGACTTGCAGGGTTCAGTGGTAAGCACCTACCTTTACCGATGAGCCCAGCTGGCTTATGGCTCTGGTTTGGTTTGGTTTTGAGGCAGGGACTGACCAGGAACCCTGGTTGTCCTGGAACTTGTTATGTAGACCAGGCTGGCCCTAAAACTCTCAGAGCTCTGCATGCCTCTGCTTCTGGAGTGCTGGGATTAAAGATGTGGTTCACTGTGCCTACCACTTCAGGATTTGGCATTTTCAATTAATTTTATTATTTATTTGTTTGTTTGAGATATGGTCTTTGTACATAACTAGTTGCTTGTTTTTGTTTCAGTAAGTAGATGAGGTTAGCCTTAGACTCACAATCCTCCTGCCTCAGACTCTCAAATGATAATATTATAGGCATGTGCCACTGTGCCTGACAATCTTTCATTTAAAAACTTTTTAATTAGGTGGAAGCAGGAGGATTATGAATTTAAAGTAAATTTCAACTACATAGTGAACTTGAGCTAGGGGAGACCTTGTCTCAAAATAAATAAATAAATAAATAAATAAATAAATAAATAAATAAATAAATGAATGAATGAATGAATGAATGAATGAATAAATAAATAAATAAATAAATAGAGCCGGGTGTGGTTGTACATGCTTGTAATTCCAGCACTTGGGAGGCAGAGGCAGACAGATCTCTGAATTCAAGGCTAGTCTGGTCTATATAAAGGGTTTCAGCACAGCCAGGGACCCTACCTCAAAGAGCACGCTGAGAGAGAGAGAGCCACCAATAAATAAATAGAAATAAAAAATAAAGTTCACTCATTTCTTTTCTCTCTCCCTGTTTATTTTTGGTTTTATTTCCTACCATGTGACCAGCTGGCTCATGCTCCTGTGGCCACGCCTCCTTCACTTCAATGGGCAACCCCCCCAACCATGAGTCAGAATAAACCCTTTCCTCCTTAGGATCTGTTTTCATTAAGCACAGCAACAGGAAAAGTAACGGGCATGGTTGTGTAGACCGGTTGTGCGTTTTCTAGAATGTGAGCCCCATGAGGGTGGGGTCTTCTCTGCCTTGTTCACAGATGTATGCCCAGAGCTCGTATAATGCCTGGGAATATAGTGTTGAGCTAAAGAGTAGATGCTCAGTAAATATTTATTAAATATATCTCATTACAACTAACCATGTTTTAACGGGTTTCTGTGGTGTGTGTGGTGTGTGTGTGTGTGTGTGTGTGTGTGTGTGTGTGTGTGTGTGTTTGTGTGTGTGTGTTAATGAGGTCCAATCCAATGCTCTATGGTTTGAATGTTTTCTTCAAAGTCTGGAAACCACCTGCAGTGCTCAGTGTCGGCCTCATCAAGAACTTCTTGCCCTCATCTCAAGAGCGGATTAGTTGCCCAGAGAGAATTTGCTGGGAAAGGGAGCGTGCCTGTCCCCTGCCCTTCTGTCTTCCCCCATGGATGGTTTTGTAAGAAGGCTTCTTGGCTAGATG